GGTAAATGTGTGATGGGGGTGTTTGTAAAAATAATGGGGACAGAGCTGGCTGCTGTCAGACGACCAGCTGTGCGGAGTTGTCACAAACGGACGTTGCTTCATTTGACGCTCCGGAGGAAAGGACGTCTCATTGCTCTTAAAACTCATGTCCCTGCTTCTCGTGGTTTCCTTGCATCTCCCCATGCTTCCCTGGTGGGAGGGACTAGACGCAGGGAAACGACGCAAGTGAGGGACGCAAGGATTTCATTTAACCGAAGTGAGATGCAGCCACTGTCACCCCACGTGACACCGGCTATATATATATGCCGGTGTCGTCAGAGGATCTGTTCCCAGAATCTTCTCGCGAGCACACAATAATTCCGAGTGACAAGATACTCTGGCGGTCATCCGGGATTCATAGAACCGTAGTTACAGATGAAACTATCGTTTTATTTCGTCCCTTCTGACGTGGTTAAAGTTGCGCATGCTCTATGAGCGCACATACGGGTACTTCTCAGGCATGATGGGTAATATGTGACGTTTCGCTCTCTCAAAAGTTGGGCCATTTTATCTTCATGAGCAACTCTCATAGGAATGAATGAGGCCCCGCCTCCCACGCTGTATCCAGTTCTCCATGCTGCCTGCAGATGCCAAGAAAGGAGCTTGCTCTCTCTAAAACGTCTGCACACACTATAATATAATAATAATGGGAGGGATGAGACCCTCTTTAATGGCCACAAATGCAGAGCACACAGTGACAATTATTCTCTGCATTTAACCCATAAATAACAGCGATAGTTAGGCAGAACCACGCTACTGATCTAAATCGAACGAGAAACGCAGCTAAAGCTGGAAACTCAAAATCCTAAAGAGAGCTCGGGCACAACGCTGCCACAATCAGCTATGCAAAAAAGTAAAACATAGCACAATAAGGGCAACTTTATGGGAGAGGAAGCGGGAACACTGTCGTCACCAGAATGTCTAAGCCAAACAATAAACAAGACAGCAATCAAATTTAGCTGGGAGAGGGTGCGGGAACACAGCCATCACCAAGAAAGTTGACACAAACCTTTCCATCGAAGCTCTGCGCAGCCGGCCATAGCTCCAGAAGGACGAGTCAACAACCCGCGGCTCCGACTGGATCAGTCGCGAAGCTGCACGTGGCCAGCTGTATGCAGAGAATTCCCTCAGATCGGACGTTCAAACCAAACCGAACGCTGTAGCCTACAAGAATGTAGCTACGTTGCTCTCGCGCAGCGTGAAAAGGAACAGATCCTCTGACGACACCGGGATATATAGCCGGTGTCACGTGGTGACTTTATTAGGCTTGTTTCAGTAGAGCTGCGGCTCGCCTCGAAAACTCGAAAGTAGACGAGAATAGCCGATTGCAGCCGGAGGAGGTCTCAAAAAGCTCGTCTGAAGTCGGACAGCTCGGGGTCGGCTTCTTCTTCTTCTCTCGGTTATTGGCGGATTGCAAACAACTTTAAGGTGCATATCGCCACCTACTGTACAATAGTGTGTATCACCACATCATCCTATCACCACTTGGAATTATACCATTGTATTTACGTTGTTTTAAATTCTTCCAATCAATCCTGTTTCACTCAAATACTTAAGAATGGCCTTCCTGGTAGCTCTTAACCCCCTCAGCTTCTGTTCCCAGTATCCCCATCAGGCTCCACTCTCTTCCTGGGAGCTCTTAACCCCCTCAGCTTCTGTTCCCAGTATCCCCATCAGGCTCCACTCCCTTCCTGGTAGCTCTTAACCCCCTCAGCTTCTGTTCCCAGTATCCCCATCAGGCTCCACTCCCTTCCTGCCTCTCTGACCCTGTTTCTCAGTTTCCCCCTCTCTGTTTTGCACATGTTGCAGTGTAATATGATGTGTTCCACATTTTACTTCACTCCATACCACCTGCATTCTTCAACTTCGCTTTTTCCCATTATAAACATTGTGCCGTTTAATCCTGCATGATCCAGTCTGAGTCTAGTGATGGTGATCTCCTCCCGTATGTTCCTTTCTGTATAGATCTTTATTATGACTGATTTCTGTAACTTGTGGTATCTCCTCCCTTTCTGATCTTCCTCCCACCTGTTCTGCCATATTTCCATACCCTTCTTCTTAATTATTGCTTTTCCTTCTCCTTTCCCAAGTGAAACTTGTATTGCTATTTCCTTTTGCTAACTTATCAGCATGCTCATTCCCTTTAACCCCCTCATGGCACCCAGCATAACTGCACATCTATTCCCCTCCTCTGAAGTCTCAGTAAGCAATGGTTAAGTTCAATAAATAAATCTTCTCTAACAGTTATTGTCGACTGTATGCTTTTCAAAGCAGATAGTGAGTCTGTGCATATCTCCACCCTATCAGGTCTGACCTCTTCAACCCATTGTAGCCCAATAATTGCTGCTAGTATTTCTGCTGAATAAACTGATAAGTTATTTGACACTCGTTTTGAGATTGATATTTTGAATTCTGGGATATACCCCTATCCCCACGCATTCTTGCTTCTTAGATCCATCTATGTACATGTTGAGGTAATTGTAATACTTTTCGTTCAGGTATACTCGTTTTAATTCCCACTTCATTTAGTCTTCCTGTGTGTCAAATAATATGTTTCAAAATACTGCTGCTGGTTTATAAAGCACTGAATGGTTTAGGCCCAAAATACATTTCTGACCTCCTGCTAAATTATGAACCATCCAGATCTCTCAGGTCTTCAGGGACTGGTCAGCTTTCTGTCCCCAGAGTCAGAACTAAACATGGTAAAGCAGCGTTCAGTTATTATGCTCCAAATATCTGGAACAAACTCCCAGAAACCTGCAGGTCCGCTGCAACTCTGACTACTTTTAAATCCAGACTGAAGACTTTTCTTTTTGTCGCTGCTTTTAATTGAACTATTCACATCTTAAACTGCACTGTAACTTTTATCCATGTATTTTTTCTTTTAATGTTTATTTTATTATCTTTTCTTTTTAATGACTGATTTTAAATGCCATTTTCTTAATGTCTTTCATTTTTTGTAAAGCACTTTGAATTGCCTTGTGTTGAAAAGTGCTATATAAATAAACTTGTCTTGCCTTACAAGAGCAGTCTCAGTGCTGTGGTTTGGACGAAATCCTGACTAGAACACATCCAAACAGTTATTTAAATGCAAGAAATTACTCAACTGGAAACTTCCATCTTATATCTGCTCCCTGATCTCACGGAAAATTGTAAGTGGCTACTGCCTGAGATCGAATGCTGTGGTTTTATTAAATGTGCCAACTGCTAGGACTGTCTTAGGGAAGACAGCTTTTAGATGCGCAGCTCCTGTCTTGGAATAGTCTGCAAATTAAATGGAAACTGAACAATCTGGTGCCACTAAATGTTTTTAAAGCTCGGTTGGATGCTACTCAATCGGAAGCTATTGGTACCTGTTTATGTGGATAATTATGTAAATGATGCTGTATGATGTCCTTTTGTTGTTCTATTTATGTTTTTATGTTTCATGTGGAACTACTTGAGCAGGTCTCCCTTGAAAAAGAGATCAATGATCTCAATGGGATTTATCTGTATAAATAAAGGTTTGAAATGAAACTGTTGAAAAACTACTTTTTCAATGATTTTACCTAGAAATGGGAGGTTTGATATGGGCCTGTAATTGTTCATTACTGAAGCGTCTAGATCAGTGGTTCCCAAACTTTTTGTGCCCAAGGCACACCAAAGGACAAGTACAAATCTCAAGGCACACCTATTGTGCAAAATAGCCCTTATAACACGTGTTATCACCATATCATGTAAAATATCTGTAAATGTGCATAATTATTTACTAATGCCAAATAAAATGTGACAAAGACAACTATATTACTCATGAAATATTTATTAACGAAATATTTCGGTAGTGTGTATTTGTCATTCAAAACAGGCAACAACCGGAAGACAGAGAAGAAGAAAAGACTACGTGATATAAACAAACATCGGGTTGGTCGAATAATCGATTATTATTCGCCAGGGCTGCCGAATAATCGATTTTGATCATGGTCAGTTTCTGGCAACCCTAACCTCCACCCCTCGAAAGTTATCGCTGACTCAGGCATGTTTATGCAGCACTGCACACGGAGACGCGCAGATTACGTACATATAAACCTACAAAGTACTGATATAGTAAATTAAAAAATAATTATTTTTGTGTAGTTGTATATTGCAATAATAACGTATGGTTGTCACAAAATCCCACGGCACACCCGGACTTGCCTCACGGCACACCGTTTGGGAACCACTGGTCTAGATTATGCTTTTTTTAAGAGCGGTTTAATGACTGCAGTTGTCAGGGCCTGTGGAAAAACACCTGAGTGAGGAGACTTGTTTACTATATGAAATAGATCTGAGGCCATGCAAGGAAAAACATTTTTGAAAAACCCTGTTGGAATACAGGTTATTTCAATCAATCAATGTTTATTTATATAGCCCAATATCACAAATGTTACATTTGTCTCAGTGGACCTTACAGTTTGTACAGAATATCAGTATGACAATACAACACCCTCTGTCCTTATTTAAACTAGCTGCACCTTTACCAGCTTGCATAACACTTTAATGATCAATCATTGTAATCTAAACATATCATATATATTATTCTGAAATTGATCAATCTGCATAATAAGTACTCCATGTATATTTTGATACCAATACTTTTGCTTGAGTAACATTTGGAATGCAGGACTTTTACTTGTAACAGAGTACTCAGACACTCTGGTAAATTCTACTTGTAATGAAGTACAAGATCCGAGTACTTCTCCAACCTCCGCTTGCTTTGAAGTCTATCTTTTTGACATGTCTTTAACTTCAGTATAGATCTAAAATAATCCCAGGGAACACTTCCAAATCAAATTCAATATTTCAGTTGGGTGCAAAAAAGTAAATACTTTTTATTAATTAGGTTTTTAATGTATACTGGAATTTCATCCTAGTTCAGGAACCAAGTTCGGCCCAAACAGATTCAGTTGATAAAACGGAACACAAAACTTCAGACGACTCAAATCTTAATAGAAAACAATTTATTTTCCCCTATTCACAGAAAATTAAATAAAAAGATACGTTGGATAACATCCCATCTGCACCACAGTTGAGCAAAAAATAAGGTACTACATTGAATTCAATTGCCAGCCTTGATATCAGATTGAAAAAAGTTATGAATGAGTGTTTCCACATTCTTCCCTAAGGTATGCACCAAGCATAGCAAGCACCGACCCTCCTTCAGTCCAACCACAACATCAGATTTGACATAATCAAATGGTCCGCTATAAAACAACGAAAACAAATTATTCTTTAAATAAAAAGAAGGAAAAAAAAAACTTTTAAAGTCCAAAAGAAATTTGTGCACTGGGGCACAAAAAACAAAATCAGAAACAAAATAAATTAATAAAAACAAAACTGTCACATGTGCATCAAAATAAAAAAACAACAAGTGGACATCTTGCATTTGAATTTACTTCTGTATATCGCTTAGAGTATCCCAACATGGTGGAGTGGTCAACTTTTAACCAATTCTCGCGGCCCAGGAGCTGCATCCTTCTGCGTGATTCAGGTAATTAATGCTTCACCGGTTGCTGCTCCAAGAACTGATGTGTCGAGGCTTTGATTAGCAAATGGCCACCTCCAAACTCAACACTTGCCTTCAGGTAAACCCGGAGAAGATGCCATTAGTATCTACCCTGTAAGGTGTTAAGGAAACTTAACCCATCAACTCAGGAAATAGATTTGGACTTTTTGCCATAGTGAGATTTGAGTGGTGATAACTGGCAGGTGAAGGTTGAAGCTCCAAGTGGCCATATTAACTTTCCTGACATAACTTTATTGTAGGGCTGGTGCAATATTACATCTAAGCAGTACTCACGTACACACCTTTATAGTAAAAACACCAACAAGAAAACAGCCATACACACTTCCATTACAACCATCCACTATGGACAAAGACTAAAAGATAAAGCTGGATAAAGACCACCACTCTCACATAAGCTAACCAGTGTCAGGGGAGAACCATTTGGACTCGAGAGTCAGTGTATTCCCAGGCAAATCCTACACAGTATTAACGGGTGAATATATGGCAACAACAATCACTAGTTTGATCAGAAGCTGGAGAAGTACCTTATTAGTCCAGCAGAGAGTGACATTGCCATCGACAAAGCTCTTATAAGGTAGATCCCTTCAAATGGATCCATTATAAAAATTACTTTAAAAAAGAAAACTGGAGCAAGACTGAGAAGCATGCAATGACTATGACCAGGAGGAGCCTCGATGGCACGAGCAGCCGCCGTTTCACGAAAAGCTTTGGTCAGAAAGACGGGGACTCTCAAACAGAAGTGGATTGATAGGTTCACAAAGATCCAAAATACTGCAATTAAGATGTCTCCCTCTTAAATCCTATTCGATCCATCTTAGGAGCTACATTATAAAACTAACTCTGTTAAGAAGCCTCATGTCTTACCTAGTCATTTTACCATTTAATATCATTACGCTTACTTCAGCAAGCCATTAACAGTCCTAAAATCACTTATCAAAAAAAACGATGTCTCAAGATCAGTACATTATTACTGTTTCTTACATTTGAAATTCTCAATTTCTTACAAAAAGAAAAAAGTGCATTTATATGAGTAAGAACCAATTCATTTTTGGTGATGTCTTATCGCTCTCATTTAGTCTGTTTTCGTGAAGTCTCTTAAAATGAAGCAGCAGCAGCAAAAAGGCTTCTCAACTTACCTACAGTATTTGAACTGTTGTTGCAGAGGGATTCTCCAAACAATCAGATATTAAGCTAATTCCTGTATTCATCTGCCTAGAATTGGTCTTCACAAGCACAGCCTCCATTAAACTAAAAGGGACATTGATTAGTCAATATGTATGGGTGGGAGGACAAACTAACCAAGCACTTGACAGCTTCAAACTGATGACAATTACTCTAATAATAAATCAAGTGAGCAACAAGACCAGAACATTCACTTAAACATGCGTCACTTAAGAGGTGATCATATGCCATGCAATAGCTTGGTACTGCGGTGGTAAAACCTTAGTCCTACTGCGTCTTCTTTAGCCTCAAACGAAGAGGAAAACAAGAGGCCTATGATTGGAGAGGAACTCAGTAACTGAGGGAAGAGGAAGGAAATTAAATTCAGCTAAATGTACATGTGAAAAGAGAAGACCCATGTATATGCACACCAAATGGTTTATGCAATTTCTTAGTAAAAGGTGCAAACTATTTGTGCACATTTCCTGCATCGTTACTTAGTAAAAGCCTCTTTTAGTTTAGCCTCTGGCACGAGCCTGATTAAATCACATCTATGTGTGCGAGTCCACGGACTACGTGCATGTGGTGTTTGGGACTGTGGCACCCTACGCTGGTTCAGATCATTCCTTTTTATGTACCTATCTGCCAACCCCCCCTCCCCTGCCCTCCCAGCCGTCACCCATCATAACAAAATAATCAAATGGAGGAGGGGGCGGTCGAAGCCAGCCTCACCTACCTCACCTAGGATCCCTGTGGGCGAAAGTCACTTTAGAGTGAGTTGGATTAAGTGAGGCGTTTAACCCGAGAGGTATATGTATATCCCCAGTTTACCCTCCCACACCCACCACCCTCCTCCCACCCTCCCTCCCTCCGAGAGACACACAGGGTGCGGGGGGAAAGGGGGCTGTCCGCTGAGTGGAGGGTCAAAGCCGGTCACATCCCTCCAGCTCGTGTTTCTCCCCACAATCTGGGCAGTGCAATGAGTTCCCCAGTATCCCTCCCCTACATTAACCTGGGGAAAAGACAGAGAGGAAAGAAATTAAAATCACATACGAGTAACTGAAGAGCTTATATTAACTAGAGAAAAGGTGATTGGTTCACTGCATCGCAGGTATTATTGTGATTGGCTCTTGGGCCACATCAAAATTATACGCGCTGTCATCCTCTCACACTGATACCACACATACATAACACGGGACGAAAGTAACGGAGCGATTTTATCCGAGCCCAAACAACTTTGACGGGCCAAATTACGTCAGAATTATCAGCATTCAATACTTAACAGACCTACTAAATATCAGGTTTAACTGTCAGGAGTAGCTAGTGTTGTCACGATACCAACATTTTGGTTTTGATACCAAGTCAAGAATTGCGATTCCGATTCTTTTTCGATATTTTCTTAAAAAAGGGAAACGGTCTTAAATGTAATTATTGTGCTTTATTTCACACCAGAACCATAACCATAACACAAACGTTTAAACAATGAGAACAATAAATAAAATAAATGACAAGAATTCGTATTAAATACAATTAATAAATGTCTTACAGACAGGCCTCGTGGTGTCCGTAGGCTTGCCCTCACTGATGCAGTTCCTGAAGAAATTGCTAGTGGGAATGCTTTAAGCTGAAAAGCTGACGCTGAACTGCTATGCTGAAATGTAATGTGTAAGAAGAAAGTGAAGAATTTAGATTGAAATGATACATGAACACTGGGGGCTTGAATGTGTGATGAGAGAAGAAAAGAAAGTAAAAAGAATTGGAAAAGCAGCAGAATATTTGAACTGCTAACTTTTGAACTAACTTGATGGCGCCATTGCAACGGCATTTGATGACACCGCATAATACGCTTAAATGTGTGGATGGCTGCATCTTTACCAAACCGGTGAAGGTTTGGGCCGTTGGGAGCATTTTCACTGAAGTTATGAGAAAACCGTGTTTCATGGCAAACCTTGTGTTACCATGGCAACGGCATTTGAAGAAACAGTCACGTAGATGTTGTCACGGCTGGACTGTTAGCACATGCGAAGTTTCAGCACTTTGACGATTTTCATAAGGAGTTATAGCAATATCGTGTTTTACGGCGAAGGCAACAGCTTTTGAGGAAAACTCAGTAATGGCACATAGACATGTTGAAGGCTGGACCATTAGCCATCATGAAGTCTAGTGCTGTTTTGACCCTTCATATGAGTTACGACAACATCTTGTTTATGGCGAGGGATGCATTTCCATGGAAACAGCCTATGTTGAGATCTCAGATTTGGCATGGATCGGTGATATACAAGCGAAGTTTGGCAAGGGATGTTACATTGGAGTTACAACGACATTGTTTTATGGCGAGGAATGCGTTGTCATGGTACCACCACATCATGTAACATCAGATTTGATGTAGAGCTGTTCAGGGCCACAGTATTAACCATCATGTGATGTTTGGTGGCGTTCTGAGCTTGTCAGTTGGAGTCATGAGTTCATCATGTCATATCTCCAACACATAGGTGTTTATGTTTGAGCCAACGACATTATGAAACACCTGTGCTTGAGCCCAGAGATCAAAGGTTTCCATGGTGATGTGCAGTAATCAGTGCGAGGAGAGACTTTCCATTGTTCTGAATGAGATAAACCTCTTACTTGTGAACGGTTTGTTGAAGAACCGTGACAGATATCGGTGAAATTTCAACGCGTGAAGCATGTCAAGGACACTGAGCGTCTGAAGTGTGCTTTTTATGTACTTTCGGGTCAATAATGTGGCCTTTTTGGCAGCCTAAATGTGTACTGCTGCTGTTGTGAGGAAAGATCAGGCTGAATTTACAATGGGCCTTAATGGAGACATGTTGAAAGTTTTTGTCACTTCATGCCCTCAAGAGGCATTTTGTTTAATTATTTTTTATTTTTCAAGCTACGAGATGTTTTCCTACGTTTGTCATGAAAAAATGATGTCCAAGGAGTGTAGGGTTTGGGAATTATGGCAGGTTTAAAAAAATATATATATGAAGGCGAATTTCAAGCTCTCCTCCACTCTGTGCCATCACGCACTCTACGAGCTGCGCAATACACTCATGTTAAAATCTGAAGAAGGCCTCTTTACCAAGGTCTGAACAATGTTTAATATTTCTAAAAGTATGAATCTGATTTAAAAATGGTGTAACACGAATAATGTCAGAAAGATGTATAACATTTGAAAGTTGGAATGAGGTTTCCGAGTGAAAGTATGAAGGAGCAGTTGGCAGTTGAAGTCGCATGAAGACTTTTCAAGTCTGAAGAGTTTCTCCATTGACTTCCATGTTAAAAATGTGATGAATTATGGGATATATCCCTGGAATTATGAAAGTTATGAATGAGAAAAATAGCCATCGATTCCCGATCGAGCAGAATGTTTTGATGTTTGAGCGGAGTTTCTGCGATGTGGAATGTGGGAGCAGAAGAGGCGCAAAATAACCCGGCGGAATAAAAATAATAAAGAATTTGTGCATAGAAGAACAAGTAGTTGGAATGCTGTATCAGCATTCCGACTAAATTATGGGGGGGTTTGCTGGACATACCTAACAGGTTGGTGTCCTGTGTGGACGAGGAAGAGGTCGGGTTAAACGCCATAGCAGGCAGACAGGCGCTCCTTCAGCAGAGGTGGGAACTGCTCTGAGAATTGCTGCCAGTTCTCCTCCCCCACCTGGTCCTTGAAGCCATGCAAGATCTTGGAAAAGAAAAACAGTCATGAATGCCGAATAAACTCAGTAAATCGATGTTTACAATTGAGAGTTTAACCTGTTAAGCCCCGTTTTTCAGGTCTCATGCTCTAAAATGACTATCTTCCCTTTTAAAAAAGGGGTAAATGCATAATCTTTTTTCTCAAAGCAATTATAAACCTGTAAGTTGGATGTAAAAAAAGTCAAAATCAATATAGATTTTTTTTCAATTTTAATATAAATTCAGATTGAACATAGTACAAAAATGTAAATTATAGTGTCCGTCCAAATTTTCTTTTTTACTTATAGTGAAAACCACCCTTGAATATGTTTTTAAATATTAAGAAGCCCTGAGACACAGTTTCGTGAAAAAAAACTACCCGCCACACCCCGATTAGGGTCCTCTCGGGCTTAACAGGTTAAAAGGACAGTGGTTTAACTTTTTTAAGAATTCAACTTAACGGGGTGCGTATTTGATCTACAAATGGTCATTTTCTTCCTCTCCCAAACTAATAAGTTACACCCCTATAAACATGGGATGCAACAAATGAACTAACTTTGTTATGAAATAAATAGCGATTAAACTGAATGTGAAAATACACCAGTTGTTTTATTTATTTACAAACTGAAAACTCGAAACAATAAGCTCAAAACACACTTCTCAGACTCAAATGTCATCCGCACGTTTTAATCAGATTTCGAATGTCTGTAAGGTGATCATCACAGTGTGGCGAGCGAGCACTAAATTGAGGAACATTTCATTGAAAACATTAATCCTCTAACATGAGGTCCTTGAGTGTGAAAAGATGGGAACAGTGATGGTACTCCTGATGACGAGGCTCTCACCTTATAAAACATGTCTCTCAGGTCGTCCTTGGGGTTGACCCAGGAGGCCACAGCGTCACAGAAGAAAATGAAGTCCTGGAGAGAGAGAGAGAAGTTAAGCGTAAATTCAGAGCTCAAATGAACAGGGTCAGGGGTGTAAAGTGTGATTCTGGATCAGAAAATATAGGAACATAAGGTATCATTATAAATCAATGAGCTGGGTGTGTCATCATTTCCAGAAAGGAGTCAGCTGGACGTCCTCTGTAGTATCTACAGCTTTTATTACACATCTGCTCACCTGCACCACGCCTGCAGGGTTCACACCGATCATCACGCAGATCCCCCTGAAGGCCGAGTCCTTCTCCTCGTTATCTCGGATATTCCTCAACGATGTGCACCTGGGAAAGGGGGGTGGACAAAAGTGGAAGGTTTATTCATCCATATTTTGTCCCAATGACTTCCTTTTCTTCTGTAAACCAAAGTCCTTTCTGAATTAATTAAAGTTCATAAAAATGTATTGCAATAAGGGCTACTGGGATTCAAAACAGAAAAGTGAAGAGTGTCTCATTTTAATATCAGTAAACTTGTGATTTCATGACATCAGAATGACAATAAACTCACCATGGTCTGATGAACTGCTGCAGCTGTGGCGCCACCTCCTGGGGACAGACGTAACCCAGTCTGCCGATGGTAATGGCTGCACACACGGAGACGACACAAGTTAACGTCAACTCCCTCTGACACTCAAATGCTTCCCAACATTTGAAGTACATACAACCTAAACTGTGTGTACCTGTGTTTTCCAGCAAAGTCTTGGGTGTGTTGGGTCTGTTGATGATCTCCACCAGGTTTGGCAGAACCACGCCCACGTACGGCTGCATCTCTGCACCTAGAAGAACATTGATTTAACACAGGTTAAATGACATATAGTGGACTTGATCATTGAGCCCATGTGTTCTCGTTCCACGAGAGGTGGAATGTATTACAACTTTTAGAAACGTTCTGTCATGAGGAGAAGGACATTTTTCATGTACTAAAAACAATGAATGGCAAAGCGATAAAACATTGGCAGTGTGGTTTGCACAGACTTAAATGGCAAACACTCAACTGTGCCACTTGGCTAAACATCATTTGGCATATCTGGATCAGAAATTAAAACAAATGCATCATCTTTTTTCAATACAGGGTTTTTCATCATATCCAGACACTGGGCTTTATATTCAAGTAAGCAGACAAAAAGGGTTTATTATTTAACAATAAGCACTTACCCATTTGCATGGCGATCTCTCCAATGGCCCAGGTGGCGTTGTTACACACCGAGATAAACTCTGGGTTCAGGTTGAGTCCCAGGATGGGCATGAACTCAGCTGGAGGGAGGACACGAACACACAGGTTACAATACGAACAGAAAGACATCCGGTCACTTTTACACTACACAAGTTCTGCCTTTACAACTTCATGTATGATTTACAAACTGCTCTCTCCCTCCTTGAAACAGCAAGCTCTACACACACTTCTCAGACTCAAAAGTCATCCGCACGTTTTAATCAGATTTCGAATGTCTGTAAGGTGATCATCACAGTGTGGCGAGCGAGCACTAAATTGGGGAGGAACATTTAGTGCTCGTATAAAAGGCTTTTACAGAGATTAAAACAGTCAATAGGCGCTTTCACACCGGAGTACTTTTCCCGGTATAGTTCCGAAAATTTGCATTCACACCAAAAAAATAGAACTAGAACGTAGTTCATGAAAATCTTTTCAGTCCCTGCTTGAGAACAGGTACTTTCATGGGAGAAAAAGGTTCCCATTTCTGATTGGCTGGGCGGATTGCAAACCACGCCCAATAAAACTTTTTTTTTTATGAAGCCGCCATTTTATTTGCTGGCATTAGCATTATTAGCATTAACCCAGCACACACACAGAGAGAGACTAACTTATGGCAACACAAAATAAAACGTGGAAGCGGTGAAGAGGAGGAGATGTCGGCGTTCTGGCGATCAACTCGGAAGGCTTCAGTAGAAGCTTGTCCCCAACTCCGGGGACTTCGGTGGCAGTATACACCGTGAAATTGTTTGCGGCCTGCCAGTAAAACCAAAGCAGAAAATAAGTGACGTCAGCGGCTTCATTTGCCTAATCCTCCCTCAGGGACTTATTCCGGTGTGAACGCGATCTTTCAGAACTAAAGAGTTCTGATGAACTAAGTACGGCAAAGTACTTGGTGTGAAAGCGCCTAATGCTGATAACTGCTGATAACCAGATAGTAGAGGACAGGCATTGTAGTGGCAGTGTATGTTAGTGCTGTGATGAAACACTCACCAATGCAGGGCTTAACATGCAGGAAGCACGCCTTGGTGAGATCCCCCAGCAGAGCGAAGGAGCTTTGCCTCACCTCGGGCATCGTGTCCTGCAGCAAACAAGACACTTTAGTGTTATCCTTAAAATAAATAAAAGTTCCTGTACATTTTTGGTTGACTTTTTCTCCATTCAACACTAGCCCCCAAACCCTCGGCCAGCAGCAGGTCAAAGGCCTCTGGTTTACCTCTATTATTTATAGAAACATTTTTTCATGTGTGGTCGGGAATTTTCTAAGATTATATAAATCTGGATCAGAAAATATAGGAACATTAGGTATCATCGTAAATCAATGAGCTGGGTGTTTCATCATGTCCAGATGCAAGAGACTATTTAGCAGATACTGAGCCAGCAAGATGACAGCTGCTCTCCTAACTATCACATTTTTGTATTCAGTGTTTTTCTCCATTCATAAAAAGAGAGAAACCACTGGCTCATACCTGCATGCACTGGAAAAGCAGAGTCATGATGTTTGATCGGGACACTAGCTGTTCAACACTAGCCCCCAAACCCTCGGCCAGGCCGCTCAGCAGGTCCAAGGCCACGATCATAAAGTCCTTATCAGGAGCCTCATACTGGTCTGGATGCTGGTTGTACATCTGTTCAGACAGGAAGAAACATTAGAAGTGTGGTTTGCACAGACTTAAAATGGCGGACACTCAACTGTCCCACTTAGCGAAACATAATATGTTGCATATCTGGATCAGAAAATATAGGAACAAAAAGTATCATCTTGTGTCAATGAGCTGGGTGTTTCATCATATCCAGGTACTGGGCTTGTTTTTGGTGAATGCAGCCATTTGTAAAACATTTTTTAATACAATAAATTCACAACAATTTTGTGTGTGTTGCAGTCTCACCATAGCTTGAGCTAGAGTCTTCTGGACCAGTGTGACACAGCGCTGATAGACGGGCTCACAGTAAGGCAGGAAACCACTCTGCAGGGCGGTGGCTACTGAAGACAGACACTGGAAGAAATACAGATATAAACAATGTTGTCTGGGGTTGTATGTCTATGTCAACCAACTTTATCAAAGGCATCATTTGTTAAACTCCTCATTGGTCTGAAAGAGAAGTTTCTCATAGGAAAGCATTCTGTCTGTTCTGAACTATGGAAAATGTTAAAGTTACAGAGAAAGCAAAGAATGAACAACTAAGCTTTTATATCTGGATCAGAAAATATAGGAACAAAATGTATCATTGTTTGTCAATGAGCTGGGTGTTTCATCATATCCAGACAGTGGGCATTAGTTTTGAAGTGCATCCATTTGTATAAAAACAATACATAAAATGAAAGATCACCAATTAGTCGTTAATCATGGGCCAGGAAAATGTGACGGATTTAACATAAGTCACCTATAGTGCATGTATAGATATTAAAAAACAAACTTCTCACCTCTAGTAGTGGGAAGAGATCCTTGTCTTCGTCTTTCAGCTCGTTCCACTTGGCAATAAGGGGGGGCATCAACTTCTGAATGTACTCCTGAAAATGGAAAAACAGTATGATGTGAGATTCCCTTAGTGTGAAACGTATGTATGATCCTGCATGTGGTGAAGAAGGCATGGTGCAGGTATAGATTTCGGGGCACTTACAGGCTGGTTGAGGTGGTGACCCACTGAGTCTGCCAGGGTTCCTATGGCATCGTAGAGAATGAGGAGATTCTTGTGCTGGTACTTCCCAAAGGCAAACACCAGTGTGTCCAGGATGAAGCTCAGGTAGGGCACCAGCTCTGTGCACGCCTCCTCTTCCAGGGTGGCAAACGCACTAAGAGAAAAGAGAGGGGGAAACATCAATATTTAATCTAAAAATATAGTTCTGAAAGAGATTTATACAAATGTATCATAGGAAAGCGTTCCATCTGTTCTTGACTATGGAAAATGTTCAAGCTACAAAGAAAACAATTATGGACAAAGTTGTGCCATATCTGGATCAGAAAATATAGGAACAAAATGTATCATCTTGTGTCAATGAGCTGGGTTTTTCATCATATCCAGACAGTGGGCATTTTCAAAACATATCTCTTCACACTCGCATATCCACCCTGATCATTATCCATCACACATCCCGTTTTATTCATGTTATTTTTTATATACTGCATTGTCTTGTTTATGTTTCTTATGCTGGTGTTATGTATTGTGAATCTTGTTGTGTGTTTGTACGGCGACATTGAGAGCCTTGAAAGGTGCCTATATAAAATAAATGAATTATTCAAATGGAAAAAAATAAAAAAATAAAATCATTGTTTATCAGTAAGCTGAGATTTGAAAAAGGGAATGGGAAGCTGCTTACCTGCAAGCGGCCTCCTGCACCCTCTTGTTGCTGTCCAGGATGCGTTTAAGAAGTTCTGTCATAAGGGGTTTGAGGTAGGAGTCGGGGGGCTGGGAGACCACCCAATGTGCGTAGCGACTCAGGGTCCAGCAGGCAATGGAGCGCACCAGGGCCTTTTTCTCGCATAGACACGCGATGAGGTGAGGGATCAGCTCTGGCAGGTAGGCCACCATGCCCTGCATGCAGCCTGAGGAATGAAGAGGGGCAACACATTAGATCATTTTTTATTTGCGTTTTTAAAAAAGGACAATAAGCCGAGATTTTACCATTACGGAAATGTATTAAATTAAAGAGTGGTTCCGTTTCGGATAAGTGGCCAATACAAATATTGACTATTCTCTACTGGAATTTTGAAAGGACCACAACCGCATGTTTGTCCTGAGCCTCTGGTTTATTTATAGAAACATTTGTTCATGTGTGGTTGGGAATTTTCTAAGATTATATAATTCTGGATCAGAAAATATAGGAACATTAGGTATCATCGTAAATCAATGAGCTGGGTGTTTCATCATGTCCAGATACAAGAGACTATTTAGCAGATAATGAGCCAGCAAGATGACAGCTGCTCTCCTAACCATCACATGTTTGTACTCAGTGTTACAAATGTTTTAACCTGTTAAGCCCAGAGCCTGTTTTCCAGGTCTCAGGCTCGAAAATGACATTCCCAGAACAAATGACCATAACTTCACTTCTAAAAAAGGGGTAAATTAATAATCTTTTTTCTCAAAGCGATGATAAACCTGTGAGTTGGATGTAGAAGAGTCAGAATCAACCTAGATTTTTTTATTTTTAAGTAAATTCAGATTGAACATAGTAAAAAAAAAAACATTACTTATAGTGAAAACCACCCTTGAATGAATAGTAGTTGAATAGTAGACTAAAAGCTTTAGGAATCCAAACTATACAATAATAAGTACCCTGTATCAAGATTGATGCAAAACAAGTGAAATTTGACCTTTTTAGAGATTCAAAATAAATAAATTCACTTCTAAGGTCATTTGGGTGGATTTGTCCCATCTCTGGCCCCCCTGGTCGACTTTGATCTCTTTTTAACCGCTAGAGCCAATGGAATCGAGGGGAAGTTCCACATACACGTTACCAAATAAGGAGTGAGAGTGACGCGTAGCCAAAACAGGAAGCTGTCATACACTCTGGAAGCTATCATTAGCAGCTAATATGAAAACTCTGTTTGACATAAAAATGGATTAAGGATTATCAATAATTTTTTCAAAGTGACACAGACACATTAGATTAACCTTCAGCCGCGTTTTAATGCCATTGAACACAACTTTTGATCAGAATAACAGTAAAAGGTGAGCATATGTCCGTTTGTTGCTACCTAAAGCTACGTCGTGTGTTGTCTGCATTTGCTTCCCCTGTCGCGAGTTCTGATCGCTCAGTGATGATACTTATATATTTATAGAATCTGTGGAATCTCAACTTGCAGATCCGATAAGTATATCGATCGATTTATACCTAGAGTTATGTGCGTTACAATTTTTTCGCTCAGGGCTCATTTAGATGCTTCTTGTGAGACTTGTGTTTTGTTTCAGTAAAAAAAATGTCATATCGTCAGTTAGCTTAGTATCTTCCCGTTAAGTGAGTATGACACATTCATAGTTTATTACATTTTAAGAAGGCCTGAGACACAGTTTCAGGAAGAAAAAGCCCGTTAAGCAAGTCCTGTCAGTCTTACCCTCAGCTATTGCCCCCAACACCAGGATGCCAGACTCCTTGATGACCCAGTCGGGGTGGAAGAGGAGGCCTTTCAGCAGCGGCAGGAGGTGGGGCAGCAAGTCGTCACGGAACACATTGGCGAGCACATCCAGCGCTGCAGCTGAACACTTTCCTATATTAAAAAATAAAATTACTTCATCATTCCCCATTAACCCTTAAACGCCCCCCAAATATTGTTTTCCATGTCAACAACTTTATCAACGGCATTGTTTGCTAAACTCCTTATAGGTCTGAAAGAGATTTATACAAGTTTCTCATAGGAAAGCATTCCACCTGTTCTGAACTATGGAAATGTTCAAGTTACAGAGAAAATAATTATGGACTAAGTGGAAACTGTTGTGCCATATCTGGATCAGAAAATATAGGAACAAAAAGTATCATCTTGTGTCAATGAGCTGGGTTTTTCATCATATCCAGACAGTGGGCATTAGTTTTAAAGTGCATCCATTTGTATAAAAACAATACATAAAAACTACTTTTTTTAGGTTGGAGTATGCTACAATTAGTTTGAGCAAATCTGTATGAAAAACCAAACAATCTACTTTAATTGAAGTTAATGTACAATGTGCTGAAAGAGTGAAAACTGTAGTTGGGCCAAAGGAAACGATATGAATTTAGACCTGAACTCGGACAAAATGTACATAGTCAATCAGCAAATGGCCCCTTTTTCACAAGTTGGCGAGTTTCAGGAAATATATTTCTCCTTCACTTACGCAGGTTCCAGTCAGACAGCGTGTCGTCGTCATCATCGTCATCATCGTCATCATCGTCATTGTCCTGCTCACCCTCTGCTCCTTCGTGCTGCAGGGTGACGGTGCGTGACTTGTGGAATCTGGGCTTGATATCCTGATCGCTATCCGGTACCGCCTCGTCCTCCTCCTCCACATCGCCCTGTGTAAAAAAACACAACTTTACTTCAGCAACATCATGATTTAATTTAGCCACATATGCTATACTTTTTTTCAGCATAGATCATTTTTACAATGATTATAGTCATGGGAAAATGAAATGGAGAAGAAATACAACAGCGTAGCACAGAGCTTTGTCAAATCTGGATCAGAAAATATAGGAACATAGTGTATCATCGTGTGTCAATGAGCTGGGTGTTTCATCATATCCAGATGCAAGAAGGACTCAAAAGTCCAACTCTATGTTGAGGTAGCTCAGCAATCATCCAAAAACACTATAGGGTCATAAGATAGTATATGAGAGGGTATATGCAGGAATCCTGAAGTCAAATTTAATACCTTTTAAGACCCTTTCCATACATTTTAAGACCTCATCGCAACTTCGAGTTCTAACCGGTTACATTGGCGACACACTTTACCTCACATTTAATATATTGATTGTAAGATAGCACAACTAAACAGAGTGCAGACAGACTACTGAAGCCTCCTCTCCACATGAACTTCAACCTCTCTGTGAAGGTCAGGTGTAATGCAGTATGCTGCTTTGTTGCTTCTGTACTCTGTGCTCTTTCATTCCAGTAAAACTTGTTTATTTATTTAGTTATCCTCAGAATTGATACTATTTTTAATATTATTAAATGTTATTAATATTATTGGGGTTTTATGGGGTTTCAGTTTTTTATAGTAGGTTGGGGGCGGGGAGACCTTAGAGAAGGTTCTGACTAGACTGACTGGTTGCTACGTCTGGTTGCTTGGAGCTGAGTTGGTATAACCCTGAATTGGATTAGAACATTTTAGAAATATGAGGAATAACCTCTTGGTTTTATAAACCGTTTTGTAATTACTTCTTCATCCATTTTTGGATCTCTGCTGGGTTTTCTTTTAAAACCCTAAACCCCCCCTTGGGGTTGGTCCCTCCCCTCTCCCTCTGCGGATCTAAGGTCCGGTAGAGGGGGATGGGGCACAGAGTCGCTTATCCAGGCGGGGGAGTGCATCTGACGAAGAGATAGGTTGTTGTGCTCTCTATCTCTGTTTCTTATCCTACATTTTCACCCTGGACTAGAGGGAAAGCGTTCTTGGACGCCTTTTCAGCTGTTTCTTACTATATTCTTCCTACCTCGTTTACCTTGAACTATTCTAGGAGAGTGTGTTGACGTTGACTCGTTGGGCCTTTCCTCCTGTACTTGTTTGTTCCCCAGTTCTTTCCTGAATCTAGGAGAGGGCATTTAGGCCTCTCTACTTCCTTCTTTTGATTAGTTTAGTTTTTCACCCCCTTTCCCTTGAACTAATTTACACGGGAGAGTGCATTTACGTAGTCACGTTGTGCCTCTCGGCGTATACTTTGACTTTCTGTCTCTTTGGAGAGTGCTAGTACGTTGGATACGTTGGGCCTTTTCACTGTTGTCCCTCTTCACTAGTATCCCATGTCCCCTCTTTATAATTTGGGTCTTCATAATTTCCACCCTATTCTAAGGGGAAGCATGATGGTGCCTTTTCTTTTCAATTTCTGGCTTTGTGTTTATTCACCTCTTACTCGTTTAATATTTAGGAGAGTGCATTTACGTAGTCACGTTGTGCCTCTCTTCCTGGCTATTCTTTTCATACCCTTGTTTCTCAGAGAAGAGAAGAAATTATATTCTAAAAGGAGCTGACACATGGTGTCTCTTCACTTGTACACTTGAGGGGTCAGAGTTCACATGGTGAGGGATTCCATGAGCGATATGCGCCGGCCTGTGCCTTTACCTTGGACTTCTAATAGAACTGCTCGGGTCTTGATAGATTGAGTGGGGAAGTTCATGAGATCTTTCTAGAGGGTTATCAAGAATAACTTTTATCCAATGACCTTTTCCCTCTCTGTCTGTCTGTGTCTGTGTATTCTCTTGTTCCGATTAACCCAGCCAAATCTTTTTTCTTGTTTTGTATCTATATCTACGCCGGGATCCGGAGTCGAGGCTGGTCCTCTTGCTGTAGTCCTGTGTCTTGGATCCTCTATCCTGAGTTCTGGATTAAGTCGTGGACTTCGGGTCGTGGCTGAACCTGTCTCTGCGGTCCTGCCTTGGGTCTCGTCATGCTGCTTCCCTGATGGCTTCCTCAGGATTGTAGCTGACATCCTCGTGGATTCATCTTCTTATTACAGACACATGCATTTCCTAACATTCGGTCTATATGCTGTAAAAATGTATTATCTCTTCGATTTACACACGGCATCTATTGCACGTCTGTCCGTCCTGGGAGAGGGATCCCTCCTCTGTTGCTCTCCCTGAGGTTTCTCCCATTTTTTCCCCTCAAACTGTGGGTTTTCTCTGGAAGTTTTTCCTTGTACGATGTGAGGGTCTAAGGACAGAGGGTGTTGTTTTTCTCATACTGATATTCTGAACAATCTGTGCTGTTGTATTTGCTGTAAAGTGTCTCTACTGTAGGCTAATTTTATTATATGTACAGCACTTTGGCTCGACCATAAATCGTTTATAAATGTGCTATATAAATAAAACTTGATTTGATTTGATTAAAACTCCTCAGAAACCATTAGAAACCAGTATTTGACCAATAAACAAAACAATTGACAAAACTTTGAACTATATTGAACTTTGGTGAGCTTCAGCGGGGTAATGCCATATAGGAGCTCCCTCACAAATACCCAGGGGTTAAATTGGGCTGGGGCTGTCCGGGGCTAAGCCCGGCACATAGGACGATGCTCTGGACACCCTCACACATTTGTCATATGTTTACAAAAAACGATATATATGTTAAGACTTTTCTCGTTCTTAATATAGACTATATTTAGGGTCGATATGTCGATATACCTTACTTTAAAATAGCAGATCTCTGTGACGGAATATAGTTTGGCTTAGACCCCGGCCCCACGAGGACGCATACAGTAAAACGCATACACAAACGCAAAAAAGTATTCCGTTCACACGCATTCGATTCATTAACGTGTCCGTTCACACTAGACCGCTGGAAATGCTGAAAACGCTGTAGTACATATGCCAGGCCTGTAAGTGTACAAAATACACCAAAAGCAGCTTAGAAGACCCAGTGCATGGTTACCCTTCTGATTATTCTCCGCGGTGGACGGCGTGTTCTCCACAGAGCGGAGCAAGGCAACGAAACTTAAAATAAGAAGCAGCATTTTATGGCACGCTATGCATGGGGCCACCGTGAGGGGGTTTCCCCGACATGTTGTTTCAGTAAATTAAAGGGTGTTTCATGTTGTCGTTGCTGTGGACCTTCTTAATACCTTGGAAAATGCCGTTTAATACTTTTTAATAGCCTTAATTTTCGCTAAATTGATTTATCAACTTTTAATACTTTTTAAGACCCCGCGGTATGAGCATTGTGTAAAACAATAAAAAGAGAGCTTACCTTTAATAGTATGATGTCTATCTCTGAATACTTCATCCCATTGACCAGGATAGGCGTCAGTCTATATCAACGGGAGAAAGGATATTACGTGCTTGGTTAAAACATCTGAGAAATCTCATGTACAAGTTTATAAGAAGTGGCTAATTATACTATCTTTTTTTAACTGAGTCTACAGTAAAACAGAGAAACTAGGGATGGGCGGTTTAGAATGGAACACAATACCAAAAAAAAGAAACACACTCAGGTGATTGTTGTGAATTCAAATTGTTATAATCATGAAAATAATTGCCGTTCATTTTAGTGACATTAAGAGTTAAGATGGCGGATCTGGATCAGAAAATATAGGAACATAAGGTATCATTGTAAATCAATGAGCTGGGTGTTTCATCATGTCCAGATGCAAGACTGACTTATGCCATGTTAACAGGAAATGTTGCCTCGAGTCACTTTAAGGATAATATTGTACAACAATTATTTTGGCCAGAGGAATGGTGACATGAAAGGTTGATATCGTTTCAAGCCTTCACAGAACACACACGACATCAACAGTAGTTCTACTCACTGCGCCAGGTGTCCGGACAGACTCTCCTTACAGATGGGCTGCTCAGCCAAAGTCAACCAGAACTCGCAGGCCTCCAGAGCCACGTTCTCGTCAGGGTCCTGGGTTCTCTGCAGCATGTACTGCAGGGGGTGAGAGAAATATGCATTTCAGATCGGAAAGTGTACTATTGGGTAACATCCTAGAACAAAGCCCTGGCAGATCTGGATCAGAAAATATAGGAACATAAAGGTATCATTGTAAATCAATGAGCTGGGTGTTTCATCATGTCCAGATACAAGACTGACTTATGCCATGTTAACAGGAAATGTTGCCTCGAGTCACTTTGCGAGCTTGAACGTAGGATCATTTCGGCTTATGATATTCCATTGAGACACTTTTAACTTCTCAGCAGCTTAAAATATGCCAATGTCTGCTGGTGCAAATGTGTGTCCTTGCATTGACTTTATATGTAATAGAGCGGCGAAAAACGATTTGCTTTGTGTTTTTGGGAACATACCATTAAAGACATTTTAAATGGAGGTACACAGTTGATTGAGGAAATGTCCAACGCTTACCTGGATGATGCTGTGCATGTGTGGGATGAGGCGGTCGACGCGGACCTCCAGCAACATGACGAGGGCTCGGCACACGTTCTTTCGAACCTCAGAGTCCTCATCTGCTGCCAGCGCAAAAAGACTCTGTTTTTTTGGGGGGGAAATAACACGTTGGGATGAATAAAAAAAACTAGGGAAAGAAAATGTTTAACAACGAGGCAAACTCTACTAAACGCAGCAATACAGTCAGATCAACCTTCAGCTATGCATAGAGCCTTAGCACATCTGGATCAGAAAATATAGGAACATTAGGTATCATTGTATATCAATGAGCTGGGTGTTTCATCACGTCCAGATGCGATACAAACTTAAAAGTACAACTGCAAGTTTAAATGTAAAAAGCCTGTTATGGAAAGGCTCTCCCAGGTGAAAGATTACTCCCATTGCTATCCCAGTCCTGTATGTATTTGTCATACAGTGAAACTGAAATGTTTGACAGTAAACCTTAGTCACACTCAGCGTACCTCTATGAATGTGTCGATGTTGTCCATTAGGGCCTGGGCTCTGCCGATGATGAACTGGTTCACACAGGCGATGGCATGAGACCTGCAGGGACAGGGACATTAATAAAAACAGTATTACAGTTGAGTCACTTGTATGAATGCATTTTTTTTTTAAAAAAGCTAACACCTCATCTTGCATAGGGCAACTTTTAGTGTGAGCACAAAATTATTAATTTGTGTTTTTGAAAATAAAGTTAGATCGCAACAATGCGGCACAAAAAACGTTACGTTGCACCTCATTGTGATTTGTAAAGTGATAAAAGGGTAATATCTGGATCAGACAGTATGAATACGAACACCTTCATTGTGAGTCAGACGTTATATTATGCATCACATCCAGAAAATAATGACAAACACCAATCAGAGTGAGCCTCTTTCCCTCCTGTACCTAATCTTGGGGCTGCAGTGCTTGAAGAACTGGAGGAATTTGGGGATCATAATGTTGAGAGGTCTGTTCAGAGCGTCGCTGTCGAGCAGCTCCGACGAGTCCTCGCAGATCTTCTGCAGTGCTCCAAACGAGCCCTGAGACACGGACATACACAGAGAGGCTGTCAAATCAAACGCAAACATACAGGGACACAGAGGAGAGAGTGAGACTGCATCAGAGTATACAACCAAAGCACTGAACACAATTCATTTAAGTCACAAATGCTAAACTTTGTCTCAGTCAATAGTTATTTTTCACAATGGGAATTTATAAATGTCTCACAGACTTAGGTGGGGTAGGTAAGTTTGAGAAACCGGCTCGAGATACACTTTGTTATATTCCATGGAATAACATCCCGATAGCAATGAATATCTTAAGTGCTTTGACAAAAAAAAATGTCATCTGTGGAAACCGTAGCGCTGTAAAAAGCACGACCAATCATTTGAGCCGGCCCGGCTAAAGTAACTGGATGGCCTACCTGCCTGTCAGCCTTCCATCTGTGCACAAACTTATCTTGTGCCCTCATTGGTCATGTGCAGTTCGTGTGTGTTGGAGGAGGGGCTCTGTAAGGAAGTGGTAGATTTTTTCCAGCTGTGTATTTCCAAATTCTAGGCACTCGAGCTGGTTTCTCAAATGACTTACCCCACCTTTAACTAAAACAAAATAAATGAGTTGGAAGTAGGAGCTGACACATAAAAAAACGAACAGAGATTCAATTAAATATATCACTATTGAGCAACAAGACTGAGCATTGGAAAATCTGGATCAGAAAATATAGGAACATTAGGTATCATTGTATATCAATGAGCTGGGTTTTTCATCATGTCCAGATACTAACAACCAGCCTTTCATTGGTTAAAAACAAAGGAAGAACACCGCGGAGCAGCGGGGGTGCAGACCTCGCAGGTGTTGTAGTCCTCCGAGTTGAGCAAGTTGCAGAGCTGAGGCAGCAGCTCAGGCCATGTTTGTAGCTCTCCCTTGGAGGCAATGGTAGTGATCAGGATGCCTAGAGGAGCGAGAGAGAAACGGGGGAAGGCAGCCGTCAGATAGGAATTTATAATTGACAGGATGTAGAGCGGCTGCAGCAGCTCTGGATCAGACAGTATGAATACAAAAACCCTTCATGTGCATTCAGATGTTTTAAATGTTTGTATGCATCATCTCCAGAGGGCAAGGGGAGGAGTGCGAGTGTCGAGGGAAGCTAGGCCACAAAAATAATTTCATATCACACTTCAATAAAACACAGACAAAACAAAAACCTCACCAATGGTAGCACGAATGAGCGGCGAGGGGTCGCCGATGTTGTTGAGACATTCCTGCTTGATGAATTCAGCAACAGTTGGGGGGAAGTTCTGGTAGTGGGCCTTAACATTGTTCTTCAGTATCAGACCGCTCAGAGAGCGAGTCGGCTCGTCTGCGGAGAAAATAAACAAAAATAAGTTGAGGGTGCTTAACAACCCATCAACAAAATGTGTCTATATTTAAGAAAGTTGAAAGTTTTTTTTATGATTTTGCATATCTTTCCCTGATAATACCCATTTTGTTTTTTATTATATTGAATTGGGCTGTCAGCAGAGCCTTGGTAAATATGGATCAGAAAATATAGGAACATACGGTATCATTGTAAATCAATGAGCTGGGTGTTTCATCATGTCCAGATACTAACAACCAGGCTGCCGGCCATATGACTAATTGACTTAGTCGACTAACACTAAACAACCAAACATTTGACTGATCTAAGCCGGGCGGAAGCCCCACGTGCCTCCTAATAACCAGTCAAGATGCAAAATAGACAATATCAGTTTTGTAACACAAGTGTAAAGTAGATTCTGTTGCATTTCTAAGACCAATTTAAAGACAAAAGGCCTTTCGAAACAGGAACAAAATACCATCACAGCTACAAAATTGACAAAGTAGACTACAGTACAAGTGTGTTCAAAATGGCAAAAAATATATCTGGCTGTCACCTTCAGTTTTGAGTCGCGTGAGTACAAAGATGAGATAGTTGTTGAAGTCGGGGAATTGGTTGAGTTGTTCAAGTTTCTAGCATGGCAGTTAAGGATCATTTGATATTGAATTTTCAAGTCAGGTGACTAACCTTTGATCTCTATACCAAGCAATGTGTTTCACAACTGTACAATATTAAAATGTTTGTAGAATTACAAGTTCCTCCCCATGGAAAAAAAGACTTATACAGCTGATGCAAGTTTCAGATATAGGAGCTTGCTTCTAACTCTTGATCAAATGCCCGCATCTTCCACTCCAGTAAAATCCTAAACATGTGGATAACACTCAAATCTGATCACATGGCCGTAGTAAAAACACATAAAGAACACTGTACGGGTTAAAATCCCTTTGCACTAGCACTAAACACAGTGATGTTATTGGACAGGCAGAAAAAGAATATTGAAAACTAGCTTTATTAACACCCAGAATGCAGTGAAGTAGGATACTTGTTGGACAGCTCTCTGTGTGACTGTGTTGGGGGATTGTGAGTCTTTGAGCAGTTGGAGGACCTGCTGAAGTCCCTGCTCATCTGGCTGCCACTCCATCCTGAAAAACAAACGTGTATAAAAACCAATCCACATTAATGTATTTCTATACACATAAAGAGAGTATTCACACAATATAAAACGTTTTTGGATCAGACAGTATGAATACAAACACCATCACTGGCAGTCAGATGTTTTTTTTATGCATCATCTCCAAAAACTATGTGGATGTTTAGGATATACTTATCTATCAATCAATTATCTATTTTATTATGGCTTTTAGAAGAGCGAAAAGAGTATGACTCAAATTTGTTTACAAAGTCCCAAATATTTGTCCTTCCAAGGACTACCTCTCCATTGGGTGTATTATGACTGACTGAGATCGCATTGCAAAAATAAATCACTTATATTTGATTTAAAAACCCAAAACAGAAACTGAAAGATAAGATTCCATGTGATTTGTTTTCTTCCAACAGGGTGAACAGAAACATACAGATCAACTATATATATATAAAAAAAAAGAAAGTTTGGCTACTTTTGAAGACATCTTTAGTAATCACTACTAACACACAATTTGATGGCTCTATGAAGACTTTTTTTTTTTTTAAACAGTCATTGCAATACTCTACTAAAAAGGGTCCATGTTTAATATAAAAGGTTATAACTAACAGACCCTTCTTTGTGATACATGTTCAGTCAATCAACCAGTTTACTAGATGATCGAAGAAGAAAGGGAATAGCCTATGGGCATGTGTAGGAAGAAGTTGCACATGTTGTAGAGACTTTTCAAGCCACTCAATGCAATACCTTTCCTTTTTTTTTTTTAAAAGGGGGGGTACATTCTTAATATATAAGGTTATATAAACCTCTGCAGACCCTACTTGGCGTCACCGTTTTTGTCAGTCAACCCGTTCCAAGATGATCGAAGAAGAAAGGGAATAGCCTAAGGACATGTGTAGGAAGAAGGTCCACATGTTGCAGGTTCAAGGCGGACATAGGGGCCTACTAGTTAGCTACGGGCTAATTTTAAGAGATAAGCGCGGAAACGATAGGTCACACCAAGTGCCAGCCTGCCAACACATACAATTATTAACGCACATCGGATTGTGGCACACGCAAAAAACAGGTCATTAGACAACACGACTAGCTAAAACCTCTGTGGCCCGGCTTAGCAGCTCCAAGTTAATCCTCCCCCACCCCCGCGCCACCCGGTCTGCTGGTCTAAGTTAGAGAAACGCTTTGTGTCTCAATATCTTCCCTCTACATTCCATACCGTGTACGTGGATGGGACACTCGCGATTTACAAGAGGAGTGGTATTCATCCGGGTTTTAGAACAGTTGTCGCGAAATAAGTTAGCTATGTAGCTTTAGCTGGGCCGCCATGTCCGGTCCATAGCTCGCAGTATGTGTGGTTTAAACCAATTAACGCATATTTGACTGGCCTGGCTAGCAATTGATCAGCATATTGTCGTCTATCCTGAAAATATCGGTTGTTAACGCACAGTTTGAGACGCCTTTGCACAGTTGTCTTGGTGTTGGTAAAGTTGCCCTTCTTGCTCGGGCCTGGTCGACAGGCGCAGCCGCCGACTGGTCACAATGTGCCCGGCATAAAAACAGAAAAATACCACAGTCTGCTATCAAAATGCGGCCCTGGACCACCGTATATGTTAAGAGGAACACAACACCTGAATGTTAAAGTACACCATTGCGTTCAATACGTGATTCACAGCCAATACTGGGTTCACATTTGGTGAACACGTTTTGGCAAGCTGGCGTTAGCTGCTAAGCCTTGAGCCGTTTTTAACTGACGATGCTAATGCTACTAGCCTGGCTATGTAACGGACACTTGATATTTGTTGTATCTGAAAACCTTACCCGATAAAACGGCCTCGATGTTAAATATCTCTAATATAAATGTTTTGTTAAAGTACAAGCACCATACTCTACGTACAATATTTAGTTGAAAGTTGAGTTTTCGTACTGGGCCGCTGTCCTCCCCTGCTTCGTAGCGGTTCCTCTTGTTCAAATGAGCACGCCGATTGAAATTGACCTATTGCGGCTTCCGTTTAGTACCCATTTTCGCAAACTACGCGAGATTACAGAGTCGCTTTTTCAAATGTTTATGATAATGATTAAACATTAAGCACAAACCATAATAATAAATACATATGTTGGTACGGATTAATTAACATAACAGTAAATGTATATATTATAAATCATGAAAGCATTTACAGGATGTGGGTGGTGTTTTTATCATGAAATAAAGGAATATTATAAAGTTTTCATATTAAATAAATTGTGTATTAGCTACAACTCAAAATTCAACAGATTAATAATAATTTAAAAAAATGTATATCATTTGATCCTATTTTTGTTTAAATTGTATATACATAAATAAAAACGTAGTAGTTATTATTCATTTCTTTTTTACAGGACGTTTCTTTATTTACACATACAAACCATGTAAAAAATGCAATATCATGTAAAAGATGCAATATCAAATGTGCAAGGAAATGTTAAGGATAATTAAAGACCACTTTAAAAAGGAAGTGGTTACATTGCCTTACTATAAATATATCATGAAATAACTCCAGATATCACATTTTAACATTTACATTCAATCAGTTCAAAATAGCAAAAGTTCCTGTAGCTCTTAAATTCATTTTTATGTTTATGGGCTTTTCTGCTTTACATATTACACATGATCAAATGTCCAACATTCACAAGCTTATCTGGAAGTTGATCATTCAAATTGAACAAAAACATCCTCAGCCAACGGATAGGGCATTAATTCAGGGACATCTGATTAGAAAAACTACGTTTTAGCATGGCTTTTCCTTTTAAATATCCATACTATACATATGCAACACAAATGTACTTACATTCCAAACAGTATCCTGAGATATTTATACATGTCATTATGTGTATAAGAAGGTGTATCACAAATAATTCCTAATTTACTTTATATTTAGGGTCCAGTCTGGATTAATGTGTCGATCATAAAATAAATAAAATGTACTGCACCCCCAGTAAATTGTCAGTTTGTGGTCACATGTGTTGTTTTGCCTTACCCACAACAATGGGGGCCTACATTTGAGATGTAATTAAAAAAGGAAATGTAAGGAAAGTGATTGCCATGTACTTAATAAGTAATATTTAAATGTAGAAGTCAGGTTAGAGAGAAAAACTGGCTGACTGTCATAAGCTTTGGTACATTTCCAATGACCTGAGCCCACCCTCCTGGGGCCTGCAGAGATGCTACTGAAACCTTTCCTGAGGGTCATGGTCTAAAATCAAATGTCTACATTAAACATGTCTTGCACATTTCAAAGAAAAAAGAAAAAACATGTGATATGAATGTTGATAAGTCAATGTAGAGGGTGGTTGGGTCCCCAGCACGGGAAGGACACTTAACCCAAAATTGCTCCCAATGGCTTGTGTGTAGTCTACCTGAGCAGGTAGCACCTTGTTAGGTAGCCTCTCCCTCTGTATGAATGTGAGTGAATGGGTGAATTCTGACTTTGAGCTTTGAGGGGTCATTAAGCACTGTCTATATGCAATCCATTCAAATGCAGTCCATTCATAGAGAAAACATCAAACTCTAAGTTCAAAAACAGTGGGCATAAAGTGCTTTTCGTAGCCCGACATTGACAGATCTTCATCTGATGAGCTCAAGCAATCTCCCCCGTTCTCCTCCTTCCTGTCCCTCTCCTCTTCGGAGTCAACCATTTTGCTGTACTCTTCTCTTCCGTATCTATGGTCTGCCCTGTGACACTCCTCTGGGACAGCTTCCTCCCTCTTATCGTCTTGACTGTCCATCTGTGAACACTCATCTCCGATCACTGGCCTTGTTAATCCTTCAGGGTCGGAGGCTTTTTCCAGGGAGGACTTAAAAACCCTGCTTCGGATTTCCACAACCTCCAACAGAGAGATCTTGGGATGTGGCTCAAAGAGGGGAATGCAGATCCAACCCAAAGAGTCACTAATCTATTGGAGATCAAAGACAGAACCAATATTTAGTCAGGCTCTTCTGTTATGTTTTGGTTATACACAATCCAACTACTTGACAACCTAACGTGAATTGTAGTTGTAAATGGGATAAGGTGATACCATTGGATTAGCAAAAATAATAACATAACTCAAGAACAACAATCAGTTTAAATCCTTTTCTGACATACTGTAAGAAGACAAATTAGCCATTTCTTTGTCAATCTCTTACCATGTGCTTGTTTTTGAAAATGTGGCTGTTACGGGCATCTGGCACTTTGTAATAGAAACTTGGAAGACACGCTTTGTTCTCTCGCCCAAAAATACTAAGAGACAAAAGAGATTAGAAACAAAAAACAGTATAAGACACCCAATTCAAAAAGAAAATATGAACATGTATAGAGGATATACATATTTATACATAGTTGTATATTTGTATTATTGTATTTGGGATTGTTGTAAACGTTATTTCGATCTCTCTGTCTGCACAAACACATAGAAAAATTGACATTAAAGTTGACTTTGGACTTACTAGCTTCAATATTCTCACATTGGATAACACCAATACATGATGTATAACAGCTATGCATAACTCAGAGGACAATATAGGTTGAGCAATATGAAAAAAAACAATGACAAGTTGTTAAAGATGAATATCTCACCTGTATAAGGCAATGACGAAGCATATCACAACCACAGAAAGGACTACAAGCACAGTTGGTAATATTCGGTGGGCTGTAAAAGAGAGTGAATGGGGGGGGGATTAAAGCCAGTAATGTGACGGACCAACCTGTTATGGTTTAAGAATAATCAAATTACACCTCTCAAAATGGCTAATCACATTCAAAAAGAAAAATAATTAAGATGTGAAGCAATACCGTAATCTTCACGGTGCTTCGTTTTGAACTTTGCGATGGCATTTGCTCCGGGCCCGGCTGCCGTCACGGCTCTTATTCGCACCTCATAGTTCTGCTCTGGATTGAGATGCTCCAGTTTATAAGTATTTTCATGCTGTGGAGATGCACTCGCATTGTGCACTAGAAAAGAGAAATCATTTGAGGTAAAGTTAGTGACCAGAGAATCACCAAAGTATATCATTACTCTAGTATGATTAATTATATTTATTTTAATATATTCATCATTATTTTTATACATTCAAATTCATTTTGTAATGCCCCACATAAAACAGTTTAACAGAACCAATTCTAGAGTTGGGATCGATTTTGACATTCAACTCAAATTAATTTCTACATCACTTTAACAATGCTAACATGCTGATATTGTTTAGCATTTTCCACATTTAGTAAAGCAGGCTAACAGTTGCACTTAGCACAGTAGTACAGCTATGGCAGGTGGGGGGGGGGTGTCATTAGTGTTTCAGGTATGTAGCCATAAACCACATTTTGGCAACTTATATTGCTAGATGAAACGTTGTTTTTTGAAAATGAATGTGTGCATTGCATTCCATCAAATCATTGTTCTTGGCAAACATCACTGGAGATTCACGCTTTTACCCTTTGTTATATATTGTTGCTATGTAGCCTACCGGTTTGTCTGTGTACTCCACTGTATACAACTATTTGGTAGTACAGGATCACCCCACTCTGTTTGGATAGAGGAATAGACTCCCAAAACAAGGTCACTTGAGTGTCAGCAATCGAGAACACCTTAAATGATGGCACTGCGGAGGGGGCTGAAATTATACAGAGAGAAGTACATGATAGTTACAAGTCCAGTTTATTTGATGAGAAGAGACAACATGTTTTATTGAAATAATCTGTAATATTTAAAAAAAGACAGCTGAAAACAATGCTAAAATACTTACATCCTTCAAGTGAATATCGAATAACGGATGAAATGTGATGGACTTCACTGCCATGTGATATAGTGAACAGTGACACTTGGTACGGGGTGTACTTTTTATATTGACCTGCAGATGGAGACACACACTAGAGTTCAACAGGCAATCAGAGTGGTGATTATCATTGAGAGGTGGATAAGTGACAACATTTTTTCTTCAATTAAGATCCATCAAGTAAAAGTTGATTGCTAAATGTAATGGCTGTAGAATAATTATACCATGTGCATTTAGATTGGTTCTATATAAGCCGCGCTTTACAACACAATCCTGTCAGCCACCCGGTCATGATCCCCCTCTCACAATAAAAGCCCTGGACATACAAGCTAAATCTCTGCTTACCAGAGAGTTTGCAATGAGGCAACTCAACAAATTGCCACAGTAGATATCCCAATGCAAGGGAACAACCAGAGGAATGTTAACAAGCCTGCATATTAATGCTACTAGTATTTTAGCACTAAGACGGGGGGGATTTAGTACTTTGGGATCTTTACAGATGTTCCTTGATTTGGACAGTAACAGCAGCCATGTTGTTACAGATACACTGGAGGAAATAAATATTTGATCCCCTGCATATTTTGTAAGTTTACCCACTTACAAATAAATTAACGGTCTGTATTTGTAATGGTAGGTTTATATAACCAGTGAGAGTAAGAATATCAAAAACAAAAACCAGATATTGACATTATATAAAGATAAAACTTGATTTGCATTTAACTGTGGGAAATAAGTATTTGATCCCCTTGTAACCAACAATAATTCTGGCTCCAACAAACCGGTTACATAAGTCCTCTTCTTTTAACACTAGAACCGCCAACGGGTACATTTTACCCGCAGCTGTTTTTTGATTGTATGTAACTTTATTTCAATAACATATTAAAGTCTCCCAGTCCGTGACTTTTCCTGAAAGTGTGTTATGTAGCACCCTCTGTTGTTAACAATTGTCAATATGAAGTCAGATTGAAAAAATCGCCAAAAAAATGCCATTTATACCTATATCCGCCAGCGGGTAATATTTACCTCATAGAAAATGCAGCGTAAACATGACGTGTTGCTATAGCAACGCCTTTTTTCTACTGCGGTTCCTTATAGATAGAGATAGATTGAGAGAGAGGGATAGATAGATGGATACATTGATAGATAGATAGAGAGAGAGATAGACAGATAGATAGTTATAGATAGTGTAACATCTTGGAGAATACAAGATCTTGGATGACTGAGCTCACGTTGAGGACGTAATGCATGTGTGCAGGTTACGTGCCAGTTGAATAAAGATGGACACTCGGAATGAGAGAAGTAGTTCGCGTCGTCTGTTTATGTAGACAATTATATGTCCATAGAACAGAACATTACGGATAGATCGATAGATAGTTATAGATAGATAGAGAGATTTGTACCTAAACAAAACACAAGTCTAACACCAAGCGTTTAAATCAGCACCCTTAGCGATATTTTATACTTCATGTTATCTGCACAAACTATTTCATATGAAAAGCTGAGAGTCCACAGATTCTATTGGTATACGTTTCATCCCTGTGCGATCAAAACTCACTGTTCTGTATGATAAATAAAAGAACATTGTACCATGAAAATCAATAGCGGGTACATTTTACCCGTTGGCGGTTTTAGGTATACAGCGACCTCTGGCGGTTCTAGTGTTAAAAAAGTACTCCTAATATCAACTTGTTGCCTGTATAAAAGACACCTGTCCACAGAATCAATAAATCAGATTCCAACCTCTCCACCATGGGCAAGACTAAAGAGCTGTCTAAGGACCTCAAGGACATCATTTAGACCTGCACCAGGCTGGGATCGGCTACACGACCATCAGAAAGCAGCTTGGGGAGAAGGAGACAAGTGATGGTGCGATTATTCAGAAGATTAATGTGTGTGTTTCTAAATGGAAGAAAGACTAAATGAACATCAATCGCCCTCGGTCTGAGGCTCCACACAAGATCTCGCCCCGTGGGGTATTGATGATCATGAGAAAGGTGAGGTATCAGCCAAGAACTGCACAGGAGGAACTTGTTAATGATCTCAAGGCAGCTGGGACCACAGTCACCAAGAAAACTATTGGTAACACACTACACCATAATGGATCAAATCCTGCAGCCCACGCAAGGTCCCCCTGCTCAAGAAGTACATGGAAGGACTGTCTGAAGTTTGCCAATGAACATCTGAAGGATTCAGAGAAGGCTTGGGAGAAGATGATGTGGTCAGATGAAACACAAATGTTGATCTTTGGCATCAACTCGACCCGCCGTGTTTGGAGGAAGAGAAATGCTGACTATAACCCCCAGCACACCATCCCCACGTAAAGCATGGAGGTGGAAACATTATGGTTTGGGGGTGTTTCTCTGCTAAGGGGACAGGAAGACTTCCCTCATCGAGGAGAGGATGTCCGGGGTCATGTGCCGTACTCAGCCAGGACACTGAAAACGGGTCATGGATGGGTCTTCCAGCAGGACGATAAACCTGAACATACGGACAAGGCAGCACAGGAGTAGCTACAGAAGAAGTACATGTAGGTGATGGAGGGGCCTAGCCAGTCCCCGGACCTTAATCCCATAGAAAATCTGTGGAGGGATCTGAAGTTTCGAGAGGCCAAGCATCAGCCTAAAAACCTGAAGGATTTGGAGAGGATCTTCAGAGAGGAGTGGACCACAATCCTCCCTGAGATGACCTCTGTGTGTCCAACAAGGGTTTCTCCACCAAGTACTAAGACATGTTTTGCAAGGGGATCAAATACTTATTTCCCAAAGTTAAATGAAAATCAATTTATCTTTTATATAACGTCAATTTCTGGATTTTCTTTTTGATATTCTTACTCTCACTGTTTATATAAACCTACCATTACAATGACAGACTGTTCATTTCTTTGTAAGTGGGTACATTTACAAAATCTGCAGGGGATCAAATACTTATTTCCTCCAGTGTATATATAAAAACAAGTAGATTCATCTTTATGGTCAAATAAAAATCAATATTTGTTTGGAAACAAATGCAGTTTGATTGCAGCACCAATAATACTACTTTGAAGTGTATTTCTACTTTAAATGAATGGTCTGTATTGCTTTCTAGGGCTTCTCAATCAGACGTTTGAAAGATCGAGGCAGCATTGTTGCATGTTGTATTACTATAAACATATCCAAAATAAACTAACCTTTAAAAAGTGCTGTTGTTTGGTTTGTGGTAGCTTTGACCCAATCAAATCCTTGGCCTGAAGGACAGCCAACTTGTTTGTATTGCACCACATGTTCCTTCAGGTTGTCTGAGGGCTGAGAGGGTGAATCCCAGGATACAGTGAGGTTCTCTTCATTCATCTCAACGTGAATAGCTTGATCTGTTTTCTCTTTACCTTAGAAAGACACAAATGCTTTGTTATTTGATTTTGAAAATACAAATATTCTTTCAATTACCTTATTTTACAAAGCTGCTCAAAGTGAATTTTACTGAAGAAATGTTTAAGATAATGTATATATTGTGTCAATTATTCCATATTTGAAACACTGACTTGTTTTGATCTTACAATAAATGACCTCTGATGATATGCATCTCCTTTTAGCACATATTCTATCCATACTTTTCATTCTAATTATGGCTTGAAACATGTGAGTGTGTAGTGCGTTTCAACAGAAAATTATATAGATTCTGTTTATGCGAGAGATGACTAGATTTTACACACGGCATCTATTGCACGTCTGTCCGTCCTGGGAGAGGGATCCCTCCTCTGTTGCTCTCCCTGAGGTTTCTCCCATTTTTCCCTTTAAACTGTGGGTTTTCTCTGGAAGTTTTTCCTTGTACGATCTGAGGGTCTAAGGACAGAGGGTCTAAGGATAGAGGGTGTCGTTTTGCTCATACTGATATTCTGAACAATCTGTGTTGTTGTATTTGCTGTAAAGTGTCTCTACTGTAGGCTATTTTTATTATATGTACAGCACTTTGGCTCGACCAAAAATCGTTTATAAATGTGCTATATAAATAAAACTTGATTTGATTTGATTTAAAATAGATTGGCAAGAATGTCTGATTATGAGAAGGAGCGCTAAGCCGACGTGTTAAAGACTCAAGCGTTAGTTAAATAATAATTAAAGATGGCTAGTGACAGTAATGTTTTAGTTGTTTTATTAAGCCTTCAAAAAATATGAAATAGGAAAGGTGAGTATGGTTTACATTTGTGACAAACAATATTATTTAACTGTAGTTCGGACCGTTAATCACAGTGATGTGATGTACACTGTGCATCTATATACTACTGGTAATGGAATTCTAAATCATCACATTTCTGCAGTATGCAGTACATGCTTATTGAGTATGAAGTATGCAGTATGTGTACAGTGATTTCAAACACAGCCACAGTATGGGAGATCAAAAGATACCTGGTATCGGCAAAGTGAGGTAAGACGGCACCGTGGCCCCCTGAGCATTGTAGGCAGATACACTGACTGAGGATACGTCCTTTAGAGAGGACGTGAGGTGGCATTGTATCTCCTCACACACCAATAAGCCCCTTGGCTCAGCTGTAGACACATTCAGCAACACCAGAGTGCTGTTGTAAGACAGTCTGGCTTCATATCCCAGAATTAGACCACAAGTCGGAGGAAGTTTCTTGATAGGGCGTGGAGAAAGACAGGTTAGCCACAGAGAGTCTGGATAAAGTGAGTCTGTGGTTCTTTATTTCAGTGAGAGAATAATGATTGTATGTAATTGTTTACTTACCTTCCAGGTCAAAGCACAGTCAGATCCTTGCTGAGTTATGTCACAGTCCTGCCATAGATCCAGCACTCCAACAGGGGCTAAAGAAGGGAAGACCAAATAAGAGACCAGAAAGAAAATTGAAAAATTAAAACCCAGTGCAGGTTTTCTGAATTCCTTGGTTCAGTTTTTGCAGGTAAAATGTTAATTGTGTTAAGTAGGGGGGATGATACCGGTGGGGTAAATTAGAGGAGACCTTTTTGTTTGATCTTTGCATTATAACTGTCTCCATTAATCACATTTAAGTCAATATCTGTTAAGTGAATGTCTTCCAATTGGTTCACTCAAGCCGCTGCAAGAAACAACACAACTTTACGGTTTCATAACTGTATCTCACAACACCTGAACAATTACTCAAAACCCCTTCTGTGGTAGTTTCAGCTACAGTAAGTGTTTACAGGAGTACATTTTGTGATGATGACACACACACAAAGACTAAAGTTAAAAAAACAATACCATCATCAGCAGTACTTTGTGCAATGACAATAAAGTTGAATCTAATCTAACAATCTTCTAATCTTAACGCCTCAGAAAAAAAAAATGTATCTCACAAAATGTCAAACTGTTTTTTAACTCAACAGTAGAACAAAAACAAAAACAAACTGGACATAATGGACCCACCTGTCTCTGTGCTTCGTAATCTGTGGATTGCACTCCAGTCGCTCTTCAAGCATTTGCCACAGGCACAACGAACTTGAAATTCATAGACAGTGCTGGGCTGGGGATCGTCCATTGTATAGCTGAGATCATCCTCATCCTCATCCTGTGTAGAGAGGAGGGGGGGGGGGGGGGGGGGGGGAGTTGAAGCATTCATTCAGTTGACATAGCTTTAGTCAATCGACAATTTAAAATGTTTTATCGTTGTCAAGATTATCTTTGTGTCTGAACTCCATTTCGCAGTGTAGAGCATGTTGAGGTGATGAAAAGGAAACTAGTGAAAGATAAAACTTAAACCAGACACCTCATGCCAGTCTTGTTCTGCCTCAGTCCGATATCGGACATCACAATATCTCAAAAAGAGACCACAGGTATCATCCATATCATCACAGGTGAAATTCCAGTAAATATTGAAGAACTCTTGATGCGATGCAACTTTTGGAGGGGGCAGCTTGACTAGAAAAAAAGACATATACAGAATACCTTTATTACATATACACAACAACAATCCAATATGAAGTATCACTTCAATCTAAATCAGTAATTTCAAGATTAATATTTGGAGTGACAAAAGTCAGTACCAACTTTTCCCCCATAAATAGGTAAACAATGGTCATAATGGTTGGCATCAAGTACTATTATTATTATTACTGCTGATAGTGGCCTTGTCTGTATTCAAACACGAGAACGTTCAAGACTGACTCACGGATATGTTCAGTATTGAGTATTGAGTATGGAGATTTAGCAGAACCATACTGGTTCTTAGCCCGGACCCAAACACGAAGTTTCCCGCGTTTGAATTGTATGCGACGGATAATCCAATCCGAAGTGTTACCACTGATCCCCTGCCTCTCCCTGGAAAAGAGGAAAAGACAAGAGGTTTAAAACATATTTTATCAAAAGTTTTAAAGTTGTCAGATGACATGACATTGAATATGTTAGTTTGTGTTTACTCGCTATCTGCTGGCTCCCAGTGCAGGCTGTACTCTGTGGAGTTCCGAGGGTCCAGCCCGGGATTACAGTGGATATCTACGCAATTGTTTTTCTCACCACATGGGATAGAGCACTCAGGAGGAGAGGGAGCAACAGGAGGACCTGTAAGAATAAACAGGATAAGGGATACAACCAAAAGTGAAAAACTCTGTTCAAAGTATATTCCTATACAAATATCTCATTTTGAAACTAAAAGTGTTTCAACTGAAACTGACCATTGTCCTTTTCACAAAAGTAGGAGCTGTTGAATTAGGCTGTGTTTGGTTAGTGTATGAGAAAAAATAGGAATGTAGAACTCCAACTATGTCATCAGAAAGACAGGTCCTTCATTATTCTTGAACACCACTTAACACGTGTTGTATGAAGTACTCCTTAAACATTATACTGTCCTGAACAATACATGCCATGCCAAAATGGAAGTACCAGTCACAATAGGGGAATATACTGTGACAAACTTCCAGGATATCGTGAGTAAAAAAAAGTCATTTTCAAAGAAACATTCAAATAAAAACAGTTGTAGCTTTTCAAAAAACTCTCCATAGTTCATTCCAGTCAAAACATCCAGTATTGATTTACTGTCAGTTTGAGCACTTTTACCAGTGCAATTTAAATATGAATTCTTATTACTATTCATTAGTGTTTTCGTCAGAGAGTTTTAATTTTCAAAACAGTAAAGAGATGGCCAGTGAATAGCTGATAGAGAATATAAGAAAGCACCAGAAAGCACCAGAAAGCAACATGTGAATGTTCTTCACCACAAGAAAAGTACAGAGATCTAAACACTCTTACGTGTATCCGCCCATACCCACAAACTCACTCACACCCTTTGTTACATTTATATTATTGCTCAAAAACGTTTCAGTTATGATCGAATAAATGCCTGCGCACCGCACCTTGCATGGAAGAGCACCGACTTTAACATTAACAGGAAATGAGGCTTTGTTTAGGTCTGTGCCCAAATGCAACGTTCCTTTGTAACCACTTCCTTCTTCTAAAGAAGAGACATTAATACCAGATCATACTGAAGTCAACAAATTAGAAATCCTCTGGGCATGTGGTCGGCATGTTTCGGTACAAATAGCCCTTCGTCAAAACATGTAAAGCTTGATGTAATGCCTTTAGTGTAAGCACAACATCCCATCAGGGAAATGTATTAAACATGTACTTTATATTTTTGTGAAGCAGTTTTGTAGTGGTACACCAAGGAACTAGATTATTGTATTATAGTGTTACCAAAGCTTGGACAACGTAAGTTATATTGCATTCAAATGTAATGTTGTAGCTGGTTGAATTTGAGCTAGTTTGATAAACTTTACTTTATCCAACTTTTGGTATTTAGGTTTTAAACACAACGTAATGGCAAGCAGATCATTTATTTAGTAAGTGAACAATATTAGGCAGCAAAGTAGGAAGTCTAATATATCTTATAAATAAATGTAGTGGACTAAATTGGCAATATTTTCTCTGCAGGGTAGTCAATTTATACATTAGAAAAAAACACACACAAAGTAACAAAAGCACAGTAAAAAATATGATGGAAAGGAAGAATTTATACATATTTGTAATTTACATAGCAAAAACACAAAATAAGCCTACCTTGAGCAAGACAATTTAGCAGGTTGGCCAACAACATGGAAAGAAGCCACCTTGTCCAAAGTGTGGCCATTACATTTGAACCCAGACCTTTAGTGCCTGTACAAAAAATACACATATATACATATGAATACACAGAAAATGTATCATCCACAGAAGGGGCAACATTCAACATGTATTTAAAAAAAAGCATTTGAGCATTTTTTCGGATTAAATGTAGTGAGTCATAATCACAAGCACGTGCATCGAAACACTGTACATTGTGAACTTGTACATACATAGCATACATGCGGACAGTCCCGTTAAATGTAGTGTAACGTTAGTGAGTTTATACATACGTAGTAAGTTACGGTATATAGTTAATACATAAAGGCACAGCGGCAACAGTCCAAAGGCAAATACTAAGTGAAAGTAGCCCAAAACCGTAGTTCGTATCTGAATTTTGAATTTAAAGCGACATGTTTAAAGATGTTTAGTGATTCAATATGACTTCAAAGCATTTACCTCGTTATGAGACACGCTTGGGGGTCTGCCGTGCATCCCGCAGTCATATACAACCTTGTTTCAAAGTTTGTTGTGAAGTTTAAAATGTTTCTTCAGATGTTACCACCGGTGCCTCATCCATTCAGATGTGTCGCCACGCCCCTTTCTGGAAATGCCGTGACTACACAGACTTTTACACTTCCTGCACTGTCTGCTGCAGGTCCAAAACAATCAGAGGAGGGAGAAGTACTCAGATCTTGTAAAAGTAGAAGTACCAAAGTGTAGGAATACCTCGTTACAAGTAAAAGTCCTGCAATATAAATGTTACTCAAATAAAAGTACAACTTTCAAAATATACTTCAGTAAAAGTACTCATTGTGCAAATTAGCCCATTTCAGAATTATATATGATATGTTTTGATTATAATTATTGATGCATTCATGTGTTTATCAAAGTTGGTAAAGAAAGGTGGAGCTATTTTAAATACTTTGCATACTGCAGGATAACTTGTGAATGTAACTCCAGGTTCTCCAACTAAAGTATTTTTTAAGTGTTGTTTATATTTTATCTTATTAATCAAAATCAGCAAAGAAACTAAAGGTATACAATATATGTAGAGGATTTAAAGTGCACTTTACCTCTGAATTGAAGTGGGGTTCAAGTGCAAAGTGGCAAAACATTGAAATACTCAAGTATGGTACAAGTATCTCAAAATTGTACTTAAGATGGGACGGGTCTGTTTCCTGTCCCCAGCCAAGAGTCACAACTAAACATGGAGACGGAGCGTTCAGTCATTATGCTCCAAACATCTGGAACAAACTACCAAAAACCTGCAGGTATTCATATATCTCACACTGCAATGTAACTTGTATTCATGTCTTTTATTCATGTATTTTATACCTGTGTCATTCATGTTTTATGTTTATTTTATTACCTTTGGTTTTTAATGAGTGTTTTTAAATTGTATAATGTGTTTCCGCTGCACTATTTCTTAATGCTCTTTCATTTTTGTAAAGCACTTTGAATTACCTTGTGTTGAAAGGTGCTATATAAATAAGCTTCACTTGCCTTGAGTTATACTTACCTTACGCCACTAAAAACATTTAATGTCATATCGAAACAACACTGGTGACTTTTGTCTTAGCTTTTGTGATAATAAACCTCACCAGATATCACAGTAACTGATAAGAGCTCACTTGAAACTCACTGCACAGTAGCAATGGAGTAAAGTAAATAAGTACATTTAATCAAGTGCTGCATGTACTTAAGTACAATTTTGAGGGACTTTTATTTTACTTGGGTATTTCCATTTGTTGGTTCTTTGTTCTTCTACCCCTCTAAAGTTCAGAGGTAAATATTATACTTTTACTTTTAGTTACTTTGGAGATTTTGTTCAATGATGTGAAAATATAATCAACACTTAATAAGACTAGTTACAGCTAAGAGTAACTCTACCTTTACCACATTTGATCACACTCTAATGCATCAATAATTATAATCAAAACATATGAACATGCTGCTTAAGATTAATTTTAAAGAACTTTGACTAATTTAAAGATATAGATACTTGCTGGTCAACAAAGAATAGTTTGAAAAATATACAGACTTGTGATTAATTGTAATTGTTCTGTAGTATATTATATTCCTTTTTAGTATTGTTTCTTTGTTGCTCTCCAAATAATGCCTCATCTTAGACAATGTCTCCCACCCCTCATCTTAAACCCTTCAGATGTATTGATCTTGTGACCTTTTGGAGAGACCATACCTCAATTTGGAACCACTTCACTAAAAGGGAAGCATTCTCTACAAATGCAAAATACCAACAATCTACAGACGCAGAAAACGTTTATTACAATGTGTGTGACAATTATTGGACAAGACAAAACTGCTTGGTTCAAGACTAATAATTAAGGCTGTTCATTTGTAACCATAAAATAATATGTAAACATTTAAAACACATGGCAGCCCTTTCCTTACAATTCAAAGAAAGAACAAATTAAACAGTTCACAATAGTTTAACTCAATAAAGAATGTCTTAAATGCATGACAAGTGGAACACAGGAGTGTGTGTCTGTTTGTGTACTTGTGTATATGTCTGCCAGTTTGTTCACTCATATGGCGAAGGTTGACTCAGCACAGGGAGCTGATCTCGCTCTTGCTGCAGCCCCACTTGCAGCAGGCATTGGACAGGCCCACAACCACGTCCCGGCCCTTGCGGTCAGCCTTGCGTAGGGCTTGCAGGATTTCTTCAGTGATGAAAGAACGGGCTGGCCTGCTGAACACTCCCTCATGGCTGTCTGTGGTGAAGCTCAGATCTCTGTTCCTCTGGAGGAGACTCTCCACCACAGGATTGTGAATCAAGCCCTCCGAGGACTCCATCTGACTGGAGCTGAATGGGTCCTCTGAATCATCTGCAGCAGCAAAACAAGGAATTACAAAAAACATACTTGCATTTCTCTTCCATATCGAGATGAAATAATAGTTTGTCATTAAGATGGCATGATGTGAAAATAGAGTAATTAATCCCCGGAACGTTTCTGGGGAAATAGCAAACGATAACCAAAAATTAAGTTATTGCGCAGTCAAAAACTCAAAATAACAATTTTGGGGTTCAAGATAACCCTTCTAATGACGATGCAAATGAAAATATAGCTCTGCATTCCATATCATGTAAACACTGACTAAGCCAATTATACCACACAGTATGACCGTTCAATACAAATGTAAGCAGTATTTTCTGCATATCTGCATTTAAAATAACATCATAATGACACATGTTTTTCTGCCAAATTACACACAATCACAAATGAGCATAAGATGGTAAAGAAACGTAATCATGGGCATACATTAAATCTACAGAAATACTGAAATAAATAGTAATATTGATACATCTGATTTAATTTGATGACTCAAACATACAACTAAAGCATATTTTAGTTACCAGATCAAATCATATACGTAATCATCAGATACAACCCTAACTGTGATGGTAGAGACCTAACAAGGTCAGTGATGGATGTAGTGCCCTCAGCCTCTCACCTGAACTCCTGAGTGAGCGCCTCCATCTAGAGCCTCCACAGGTGAAGATGACTGCCCGGATGAACTCACGGCCACATAGCTTCACTCCATATGTTGGGACGTCAATGGGCTGAACCCCAGCCACCAGCAGACACACAGCCAGTACCACTGCTTTCCACATAGTACCACAAGGAAATAAAGCAAAAATAGAAATGGTAAAAATTACAGGAGGCTCTTTGCTTCAAGCAACACTTGGATTTCTGTCTCCCTGTTTGCAAGAGCTATGACTTTCTAGCTGACCCAGGTGTGGTTTATAAAGGGTTTGAAGCCCTGCATGGCAGACATGCAGCACATGCAGGACTTTGCTGTAACAGATTTGAAAAAGAGATACAGTCAGAGACCTTTATGGAGACAAAAGGCAGACCAAAGGTGGCATAATTAATGAATATGCCAGAGGCCTGATGATAAAATGGTGTTTCATCATAAGAAGCATTTCTGTCACCTTTAATGTCCCTTAGTTTAAACTTTACCTATATTTGATATACAGTTCCAACCCAAATGTAAGAAATATCTGACCCTGTGACATAAAGGACGTTTAAAAAGCAAACGTGTCCCAATACGTTTTGTAAAGGCATGATAAAGGTCATACATTTTTTCTATATATTTTAATCCTAAAAATGGCTAAATTAACGCTATAATGTCTCATTTCCCCACCTTAGATGTTTTGAAAGATGCAAAGATGTTATAACTATTAAATAAACAAGTCTTTTTGAACAAAATACCACATCATATTTGTAAAGTTTAATAAAAAAATAAAATAAAACATATGCCATTGCCTGAACATATGAATGAACCTTTCCAGCCAAACTACGCATGTTGCATGAGTTTCCCCGATAAGAAATAACATTTGCTGACATCACTATAGGGTTACATTAAGGCCATTGTGACAGATATCACAATTATTTACATATTATTCATATCCACTTGGCCATAATGAATCTACGTAAGATCCTGCATGACTTCAATATGTATAACTTTTCCATTCTCTTGAAAATTGCTTATTGAGTCACCAAAAGGTGAACTGGGAGGACTGAGACAGGACCAGTGACATTTTCAAAGGTAGATAACATAGAAGTCTTATTATGAGTCAGACAAAAATAAAACACATTTTTATCTGTGTATCCACATAGTCAAAGGTCGTTCGTTCAGGAAATTACAATGGGGATGATGAATTTGTAATTAATGTGACGATCGCAAGCAAACAATGGCATTTTATGAGGGTGTCCACCCTGATATTCATTACCACAGTGTCACATAGGTGACCTGAGGAGGTCATGGGAGCAATGTGAAAATCAATGGCCCATACAAATGTGTAGTGTATTAACACTGCACTGTAGATAAATGTATATAGTCCTAAATTGTATATAATTAGATTTATTTGTTTACTTTTAAATAATGTACAAACGCTTTTTTTTTTAATACACTGCAGGTGTTATCATATGTACTGTTGTATGGCTGCTGCATAACTAAATGAAATTCCATAACTGGTAACTGTTGGCTGTTCACACTTCAGTTGTTAAACCAGAAATACAATCTGATGCATTGTATTTCATCCTACAATGTTCAAAAAGGGTCTTCTTTGCTAAATAAATCTAAGGCATAACAGAAGCAGAGTTTAAAGTTTAAAATATGTCAGAAGAGGCAAATAGTCAAACTGCTTGGCTATAAGGGCATTCAATGAATGAGCTTGGTTTCAATGAATCCATGTGTACCAGACCGATCATCATCACCAAAGACAAGTGGATAGGCTATGGACAGTCGGTTTTATATTTTAGATAGAGCTACTATGATAATGACACTATCAAATCACTAACTGGAGAATTTGGATAAGCACTCAGATGAACCTATTACTTTCCCTGACATAGCATCCGCCTTACTAGTACGAAAATGATGTGTGATAGACAGGGATGTTCCACAAATGGGCGTGGAAGGCTTTGTAGTAGAAATTCGCTGCTCCTGTGACTTTAAGACTATTTGGCAGCACTCAGCCAATCAGAGCGACGGAGGGGGAGGGAAGGGAGCGGGTGGGTAGCAACAGTTGCCCTGGTGAGGACGAAGCGCCATAGCCACGGTAGCCCTGGCGACAAAAACCCAGCAACGAGAATCAACAACAACAACAACTGAATCCGCCATAAAAATAAAAGAAGACAATTTACCGGTGGGAAATACACACGTGGATACAGAGGTGAAGCTCTTTACATATAGAATATTTTATGTCCAATATTGCTTCAACTGAATTGTGCTATTGCTATTTCCCTTGTTGTTTCAGTAGCCATAACAGGCAACTGCCTCCTAGTGTTAGCTGAAGTTAGCCTGAAAGCTAGCCGTCGTATTGATAATAATGCGAGTCCGTTTCTTGAACGGGGTAGTTCCTGTCCGCTATTCATTCGAGTGACACTGGATTGAGCTTGCCATGACGACGCAGCCACAGATGCATACTCAAGCAGGCCGTTGTTATGGCGATGTCAAATGCAAAAGGCACAAAATGGCGGTTGTTGTAGAGACCAGTTAGCTTGCTGTCTGTTTTACCTTGCTGGAAAGCTAGGTCTGTCACGACAGACTTGTGCTTGTTACTGCTTACAATTAACAACAACACGTAGCAGTAACGTGTAACACTGTTTTTGTACGATAATGAAATGTACGTGCATTCTATGGCTGTGTAATACGGGATGTTTTTTTCCAGCAAACCGGCATAAAACCTTGTCCCTGTGTACATGACGTTGCCTACCCAAAAGGTAGATCAAATTCGGACAGTCAAGTTAAAAGTATATCTAGATTGGGTTTAGTGTTTATTTGGAAGCAGATTTGGAAAAATTGCTGTTGGAGAAATATCGATAATAAAGTAGAAAGCTAGAGGCAGGTGTCGGACATTTCATATCCGAGGGGCGTGGTGAAGGAAGACGTTTTGCAGGTGCTCTGCAGGTCCGAATTCAGTTTAACTTGTTGTTTTACTGAACTGCTATCTGAGTGTTAAAGATTGGCTATTAACATCAGCACTAAAAAACACATTGTAGACACAGATTTAGGACCTTCCCATCGGTCATCAGTCGATTAAACAACGATAAAAAAGGCAGGAAGGTAGTATCAATTATATTGTATACGTCACAAATACACAAATCAAGGGCAATAATGTGATCTCCTCGTAAATGTGTGTGACAAAACTCATTTGCAACAGAATGCATTGCAGTATTAGTTCAACCGTATAAGGGATTTTCCCACACAGTAGTGCCTGTGTTCAATGGCCATCGGATGTGTGATCACATTACAGGTAATGAGAAACCGAAATGCCTGTTCCCGTCAATGCTCCTCCCCCACATTTCCACATCAGCTGCTCCACCAACAGGTCAGCTACAGTAGTTCTTAGAAAAGGAATAAGGAGCATCTGATGTTGATCTCTATTTTCCCAAACTATTTATACATTTGTGCAACCAACATAAAATGTTCAAGTATTGTCATCAATGTCATTTTACAAGATGGACCCCCGACTCCAAAATATGAATGAATGACTCAATACTACTTGATAAACATTTCAAAGTTAACGGAATACAAGCAGCTGTAATTCACTACAGTTTCTTCTGCTCTCCTCTCCAAAAGTCTGAAATTGTATCTCTCTTTCCTTTGAAACTCTTACTAGCTCTCTGTCCCCTGCCCCGTGTCTGTCTGAATGATTATATGGTGGATTGGAATACAAACTGACATCTAGCTATTCTGACCAAATAGGAAATAAACCGTTCCAGTCCCGGTTTTCAGTCTAGAACATTCTGATCCTCCCTTATTGATAGCAGTTAATGCCTGTTTCTTTTCTCCAGGGTGATTCCCAGCTCCTGCAATGGCCACCTCAGGCTACGTAGGTGAGATCCAGCCAGCAGCCCAACCCCAGGGGGCCGTAGTCACCATCACATCGGGGCAACCTGACGCCAGTTCTACCCCTGCAACATCCCCGCAGTTTCTGGCTGAGATTCAGACCGCTGTGGCCGCTCCCACTGTTCTCACACAAACGGGCCAAACTACTCCCCCTGATCAAGCCCTCTCCATCAGCTCTCCGGAGCCTGCAGATGGTTCCCAAGCCCAGTCCAACGCTCAAGCCCAGCCTCCTCAGACACAATACGTGACCGCAGAGATCCAGGGCTCCCCCTCACAGTCTGGAAATGCTCAAAGCACCCCTCAGTACATTGTTGTTACAGTCACAGGTAAGTCTGAAACTGGGCCAGTTCAGGGTCTGCACTTCACTTCATAAAAAAGGAGCAGCTTAAAAACGTTTATTAATATATTGAAGAAATATGTGTAAACACATGTATTTTAAAGAATCAAAACTTATCAAATTGAATAACACTTTATGTTCCTAAGGGCAGTCAAGGCACTATAGTTGCCTTTCTACAACATTTATTGTCATATTTATTTATTCTTTGTTTAATCAGATGGTTTCATTGAGATTAAGATCTATTTTCTAAGAAAGACATGAGAACAAAACACATTCACAAGTACAGAAACAACACAGACAGATTTAACACCACTACACAATAGCAAGGACAACTGTTATGGATACTTTTGCCTGAATGGTGAAATGAACGAAATGTGAACCTACAAAAATTGAATTATATCAACAGCTTCATTCAAAGTTAAATCATGTATCAAATTTGAATGTATTAACATTCCCTCTATGTCTCTCAGAGGGCTCCCTTCACTCCTGTGACAGCGTGTCGGACTCTAGCCCCCCCCCAGCTGTGGTGCAAACAGGAGTTCCCACGCAGGTTGTTCAACAGGTTCAGTCAGCCCAACAGGTAAAATAATAATACTATAATATAACTATAGTATCACAATAATACACATTATAACACAACAACAAATTAATATGTCCTTCACTCTTAAAACGATATAGTATGTTTATCTCTGTAGAGATCTGTGGTGCAGGCTACTTCTCAGATAGCCAAGACTGAGCCTGGTACACAGCTCAGTGTCACCAGCCTGCAACCTGTTCATATCGGCCAGGAGGTAAGTCAAACACACACAGTAACACAACTCATCATTGGTGATAAATAGGACAATAATGTGTACTGTCAGTGACAAATATTACAATGGAATACAAACAAACACACTTCTCATAGCTTTCACTTCGAAAGTTGATCATATGTGACATCAAAACTTTCCAACTTCCTCACATTTTGGCTTAGTATTAGTCAAGTTATCACATCTTTGGTGGAACCTGCCTCTGCCTCAGTTCCTCCCTAGCACCGTGCTGACAGCATTAGTCAGGGATAGGAATCTTGAAGAATGTCTGCAGCAACATGAGATAGGACAGGCAGAGTTCCAGTCCGAGGCTTCAGCAGACTACATGAGAGAATGCTGCGGCACACCCCTCTACCTTCCCTTGGAGCTCCTTCAGTATTACCAATCACTGTACTGGCTCTCTGTGGCTGCGGAGAAAGAGATAGGAGCCCAACCTGCAGTCACAAACTCAGGCCCATATCAGTCACCACTGCAGACTACAACTGCCACTTTCCAAGTAGGTCAGGGACACTGCTGTGTAGTTAAGGGAACAGAGAGGCTGTCTGAAACTAAGAAATGAATTCATTTTGTATTAATTTATATGTTTGAACTAAAAGGGCAAATATTTATGGGATTTTTGTGTGTGTTTGTGTGTGCTCACTCTTAAGGTTCAGCAGCAGCTCACACCAGTGCCCGTGCAACATGTGTACGCCAATCAAGTGCAGTATGTGGAAGGAGAAGAGACCAACTACACAACAAGCACTATGTTAGTATATATTTGGGTCCATTATTATCTAACGCATGTACAGACAGAATTTTTTAAGCCAAACAAAGTGTAAAAAAATAGATAATGATAGTGAGATACTTGCTTAAGTTGCATAGTAATAAAAATAAAGAATAATGAAAAGAACAAGATGGTAAAACATTTGGAGCCATCCATTGGTGTTTACATACCTAGGGGGTTTATGGTAATAATGCCATGACCATGGGACAGGAGAACACCTTTTTTGTAGATTCCAGGAACAATTCTGTCCAGAACTATGCCATTTGCTACCTACCTGACTAGCAGACTTTACTGTGAGCTGATTTGCTGATTTATTATTAGAACATTTGCTGTAAAAGGTTACCTGCCATACGTTCCAAAACCAATCTACTGTTGACTGGACTAGCTGAATCATGGTGACACCATCAGCTGGTCGGGACAGGCCTGTTGACACTGCTGCAACTTTTCCCTGCAACGATCTAAAGATAATGGTCAAACTGGTCTGAACTGTGCTTAAATGTTTTAATTTGTCCACCAGTTTACTATGCTTCTAAAAGTATTTGTCTGTATGTCTTTCATCCAGCCGGTCGAGCGCCTTTCCCTACACTGACACGCCGCTGTACACCCAGACCACAGCTGCCCAGTATTATGACAGTCAGACAGCTTCTGTCTCACAGGCCTCCCCTGGCACACCTTTAACCGTCTCTGTGACTGCTGGCACAACAGGGGGGGTGTCCATGTTTGTTGCCCAGCCCACCAGTGCAGCAGGGGGAGGGGCCACAGTGGTGACCACAGGTGGCACCACCAATGGGGCAGGGGATGGGGCAGGAACCAACGGTGGCGCAGCAGGCAGCTATGTGATCCAGGGGGGGTACATGCTGGGCAGCAGCAGCACAGGGACAGCTGGCAACAGTCAGAGCTACTCTCACACCGCCCGCACCTCTCCAGCCACTGTGAGTATTACAGAGGGCGAGGAGGGTAGCGTGCCGTCGGCAGACAAGAAGGTATGCAGAGGCGCCAAGCGCAGACATTTTCTTATTTTGTTCTCATCCACACAACCCGTTGCTTGGGCATACTGATGATGTCATAGTTTTGTCCAGTCGAAAGCACAATTAAAAAAATTGAGATTTGGACTCGAGATGTACCAAAAAGGTGCTTAATTGATCAAACACTCGAATGCTGCACACTTTTTATTTTATTTACAACACGCCTTTTTGTTTGATTTCAGCACATTTTTGCAGATAAAAATAATCTGACATTCATAATATTAGTATTACACTGTTGGCACTACTATATTCCAGTGGTGGTTGCCTAGGATTCCAAAAGTCCAACTTTTTCTAATAAAATATTTTTGCTTCAATCCATATTTGTTGGCATTTAGCCAAACACAACATTTTCACTGCGGTCAAAACACTGCCCTCCTGCCTGCTGCACACAAAGGGAGGCAGGCAGACGGGGGCGGTGGAGCAGCAATCTAACATTCGAGCTTCTACTGAGGTTTACAATGAAGCTTTGATCATCGTGCTGTTAGAGTGCTGATGGTAAAAAGAGGATGATACAGTCCCAATAAGGACCATAATAAATATTTTATAAGCATACAGTCTTTTTAACTGTGGTTTCTTCCTGAGAGAAAACAAAACCATGGCCTCATCATTTTCATATCATCACAGTGCATGTGACGAGGGCCATTTTGAATTTGCCTGAAATGCCCTTACACACAATTGTTCATCCCAGATTCATCCTATTGAAGCCCGCATGATAATGGTCACTAACCTATGTTCGGCAACATCCCATAAATATTGCAGGTCATTCATTCATTGCATACCAAAAACGTATGCCACGGCACGCATTTCCAAATGTCAATTGATTGGTTTGTGTTTGTGTCATTATTTGATTAGAAATATGTGTGTGCATGTTATGTACTTTAAACTTTAAAAATGTGCCTTTGCAATTAAGAGTGCCTGTTATTGCATGTTGTGGTGCGTTTGTATCTACTGGTTTGCTGACTGCACCAGCTGTTTTCTTTTTTCTTTGCCTGCGTGTCAGGTACAGTGGTTGCTGGACAACTATGAGACAGCTGAAGGAGTGAGTCTGCCACGATCCACGCTCTACTGCCACTATCTGCTGCACTGCCAGGAGCAGAAACTGGAGCCTGTCAATGCTGCCTCCTTCGGGAAACTCATTAGATCTGTGTTCATGGGGCTGCGCACACGACGCCTCGGCACACGGTAAGAAAGGTCCTCAGACTTCCAAAATCAGGTATAAAAGACATGAGACACATATCAATATCATGCCTAATTAACGGACACCCAAGCACATGAACATTGGAGGATTCTTTAGTCAAATCGATAGATGGAGCAATACAAAATGTTGGCGTAGTGTAGGAAGAAATGTGGGTGGAGAGAAGGACAGACAGTGTGTGGGTGAGTGAGTTTTATAAAGTAGAGGAGATGAGCAAATCAGATTGGCTTTTGAAAAATGTTTGGTAGAATGGGTTTAATTAAGAAATCCAATATATTTTTTTGAAGGTTAGGATTTTAAATAATACTTCAAATGTTTGTCAGTCTTCATTAAGACTCTAAAATGTGTGGCTTTGGAAGAGTTACAACAGGTTGATATCGACAACATAAACCCTCTCTCCGCTCATATCTACTACTCAGTATCGAAAATCATATGTGTCTCCAATTCTATGTAACACACTTTGTATCCGCTCCCAACAGGGGTAATTCTAAATACCACTACTATGGGCTGAGGATCAAGGCAGGCTCTTCTCTTCTTCGTCTGATGGAAGATCAGCAACATCTGGCCATGAGGCAGCAGCCATTCTCACAGAAACAAAGGTACTGTACACACATACAATAATCATCCATAACATTGACTGTATATAAGCCTTTTTAAATCAGAAGTGAAAGTTGTAAGAGGGAAGCATGGAGAGTACCCAATCTGCACATCTCCTTGATAGCGACCTCTCAATCACAAAGTAGCCATGCTCTACAGAATATGCTGCTTTATTGTCTTTTTGGCATAAATCTTACTATCATTTAGAAAATCACCATCCTGCTTTATCGAAGGAGACTCGAAACTAGCCATTGAGACCAGAAACTAATCCAGAAAAAGTGTAATTTAGGTAATAAACCAAGCAGAAGTAGGATCATTTTCTCATAGACAACCAAACTGCTTCTAGAACCACACAAGTTTAAGTCTCCCATACTTTGGCATCTTCCGATTATTATTTCACCACTGTAACCATTTCCATCCATCTATAATTTGTACACATGAATCAATTTCCTTTGTACATTTATTTTTCCTCTGTCTCAGTCTGGCTTTGGTATTCATCTTCTTTGTGTAGATCAGAATATTTGATCTGCCTCATCCTATTAACTTAATGTTTGTACCTATCAGGTTGAAGCCTGTGCATAAAGTCGAGGGAATGACTAACGGCGCGGCAGCAGGAGCCGGTCAGCAGCAGCAGCAGCAGGGGGCCGGCCAGGTGGACATCAGCACCCAGGTCCAGCAGTACCAGCAGTTCCTAGGTGAGTGCACGAGCAAATACACGGGCTGGAAGTACAATAACGACATATAAGACAGTATTATTTACTGCTCTGATGTGATTTCTCTTTGATTATCCAGTGCTCTTTTGTTCCAGATGCATCCCGAGCCCTCCCAGAGTTCCCAGACATCGACCTGCAGGGGAAGTCTCTGCCTGAGGGAATCGAGCTGGAGCACATCAAGAGCTTTCAGCTGCTGTACAGAGAGCACTGTGAGGTAACTGAATGAAGCTCCCATTGAGTATTTATGAGTTTCCCGCTCATCTAGATGTTTGTGAGATTGTGGAGGACTACTTTAAGTGAAACGACCTACTGTAACCTCTGGGTTAGGACTATAGGAACTGGAACATGAAAGGACATGCTGTTAGACAGCTGAGGAAGAAGATAGGTTCAATCTTTATTTATTCAAGCCGTCTCACTGAGATTAAGATCTCTTTTCCAAGAAAGACGTGGAAAACAAACATTCACAAGAACACAAACATAATAACAGAAACAACACAACTACACAATCATAAGGAATTAAAAAACGTACAAGAAACATGAACACTTTAAAATGCAAGACTCTAGGTTGAGGGACGTTTGCAGTTTATTCCGATAATTAGATTGAAATGAGGCAAGAGATGTTAGGGAGTTAATACATTGTAATAATTATACTAAGTCAAAGTCAACTTTATTGTCAATCTTTAAGTTTGTGTGTGCAGACAGAGAGATCGGGAAACGGTATAAAAACATATGTATACATATATATAATAATAATAATAATACATTTAATTTATAAAGCACACTTTAAAAACAACGTCATCTCAAGGTGCTTCACAATGCTATGAGGAGAAGATGAAAAAAATATTTCGTCATTCTGTGTCTTTCCAACTGATCCTGTGATCATCTGTTTGTGCTCAGTCATTTATTATCAGTCACTGACGTGCAGCGTGTTTCCTCTTTGTTTTTTTAGGCTATTCTTGATGTGATGGTCAACTTGCAGTTCACTCTGGTGGAAACTCTGTGGAAAACCTTCTGGAGGTTCAGCCAGAGTCAGGCGGGAGACGCCACGTTGGCTGTGTGAGTGCTCAAGACAAACATTTTAGTCCAAAACAAAAGCACTACCATGTTATACAGCATGCTGATAACTTAAACTGGAATATATGTGTGTTGGCAGTCATGACGAGTCTGAGAAGCGGCTGCCTAAGTCCTGCCTGGTGGTGCTGTGTAAGTACGACCCGGTGCTGCGCTGGAGCCGGGACTGTGACAACAGCCTGTACCAGGCCCTGGTGGAGATCCTCATCCCCGACGTCCTCAGGCCCATTCCCAGTAAGGCTCTGCAGGAATGATAGTCATGCACGTAGGGCTGCTCAATTAGTCGTATTTGAATCGGAATTACGATTTTGGATTGCAACGATTATGAAAACAACATAATCGAAATAAAACGATTATTTATTTTATTTTTTTCATTTTTTTTCCCCGTTGAATTATACTTAAAGTTCAGGGTAATCAACTGTTAAAAACATGCTGTTCACATTTTTGTTTTCAAAGTAAATGGATAATCGTTTTTAATAATCGTGATATAAATTATTGACCCAAATAATCGAGATTATGATTTTTGCCATAATCGAGCAGCCCTACATGCACGGTCAAATTCAACACGGTGCAGTGGTATACATGTACCAAAATATCATATGATCACAGTTTAACCACAAAAGTGACAGAAAACGTTTGTTATAGTAAATATTTCCTTAGATTTAAGATAAGATAAGAAGTACTTTATTGATCCCAATTTGGGATTTCTTTTGTGTTGCAGCAGCATAAAAAGACATGACATTGTACAACATAAATTAAAAGACTAGAAATAAACAAGAAAGTAGAAAATAATATACATGTTGAATTACAAATGTACAGTAACAAAATATAAAGCAAGTTATTATATATACATAAGTATGTGAGGCATGGAATATTAAATATTAAATTGAATATAAATGTCAAATGTACAGTGTGATTTGAAGTCCTAGAGAAGCTATGGAGCAGATGCCAGCCAGACTAATGAAAGATCCTAACCTTCAGTAGATGCCTATACAGAACTACATTTACCCACAGTGCCATATTCAGCTATTTGGAGTCAATATTAGAAAATACTACATTTCTGTGACAACATTATTGTTTCCGGATTAGACATTGGAATGATGACCTGGCTCTTTAGTAGAGCACGTCTTTTTTCCCTGATTAGATACCAACTCCTCTGAGTCAGAGGTGTTAATGACTTCTTTCTGTTTCAATTTTAGTCTGAACATTTGAATTGTATTACATTTGTTAGACGCTTTTATCCAAAGCGACTTACATACATTCAGTACCGTGGGCAATCCCCACAGGAGCAACTTGGGGTGAAGTGTCTTGTCCAGGGACACAACAACATTCTGACTGCAGTGGGACTCGAACTTGCACCCTGATTCGATGTCCAGCACTCTACCCACTGAGCCACAGCCTACCTTACTTGAACTCTGTAATACCAGATATTTGAACATCTTTTTTCCTGGTACATCCTCAGGGAAGATCAAATAAATGGACCAGAATTAAAGTCTATTACCCCCTTTCTCTCTCGCCGCCCCTAGGTGCCTTAACTCAAGCCATCCGCAACTTTGCCAAGAGCCTGGAGAGCTGGCTGACCAACGCCATGATGAACATCCCAGAAGAAATGGTCCGTATCAAGGTATAATTGAGTTGGCTTGCAGTTGCTGAATAAACAGTTTGTTATACAATTGAGCAAGCTTTTGGAAATGCATACGTTTTCCGTTTTGTGAACAGGCTACAGCTGATTTTACACAACATGCTATCCTATCCTATCATTTGCTCTGTGGTGCAGCTTTGATGAAAAAATATGTTGTTGCATTTCCAGGGAAATTATATAAATTATCATGAGAAGGAAATAGCCTATTAAAAACTCTTATGAAGGCAGTCCCATCATTACGTTTTTTCTCATTCATTAATGGGACAATGCTTTGTGATAAAGTGAAGATGCAAGGAGAAATATAGGGCTGTTACATTTTATTATTTGATTATGATGACATGTTCGTATTAAATGCGCCGTCTACTCATCAACGCCAGAGCTGAACAAACATCCTCTAGGTTATTCTAAAGATATTCATATGTGTCCGTGGCTTTATGTAAAGTATTAATTTGCTGTCCTTTCATCCTCCTCTCCGTGTGACCTCTCAGGTGACCTCAGCCAATGCGTTTGCCCAGACGCTGCGTCGCTACACCAGTCTGAACCACCTGGCCCAGGCGGCCCGCGCCGTGCTGCAGAACACGGCCCAGATCAACCAGATGCTCTCCGACCTCAACCGCGTGGACTTTGCTAACGTCCAGGTTGGTTTAGTCTCTGCTGCGTTCATGTCACCTCATAGAAATGTCAGTGTTGGTTTCTCTGCATTTGATTGCATGTTTCTGTAGCAGCTTGAGGTTTCGTGTGTGTTTACCTAAGTCTGGGTTTCCTGCGACTTCCCCCCGCAGGAAATGTAAGCTTTTTCTCAGAAGTCTTTCTCCTGCCTCCAGTGAATGGAGCTCACATGCGTTGAAACAGAACCCTTAGTTTCTGGATTAAAGACAATCATTTTTTAATCTTCACACACAAAAGAATGCATACAAATCCAGATAGTGAAAAACGGAGAAATGTGATAGTAGAGGTACAAAAACAAACATAAGGTTACATAATTAAAATAAAAAATGACAACAGTAAGAACACAAAATTGAGCTGAAACACAATCAACAACAATAAAGGAATACATACAAAAAAATAGGTAAAAAATATAAATGAATATCTATATATGTACTGGAAATGATTTGTCAAAGGCAGGTGAAGATGATCAAACTGTCTCTTATTGTGTGAATTAATTTGAGAATAAAATATGAGTAAATTGGCTTAAAGTTGATAAGAAAAAGGCAAGAACATATAACATGTAATGTTTGTATGATACCGTCAGGCAGAGAGTGTATTTCTTTACACTAGGGGTGTTTCTCAATGTTGAGGAAGGCTCCTCCAGAGCCACTATTTCAAGGATGCTACGTCATCGAATTCCGCCGAAGGACTGTTCCAATGTCCAGGATCCTTGGAATTCTACAGAGGCCGGCGTCCTTCGTTGCATGACATTTCGAGGCTGCACATGTGTATCCTCCGCGGTCTTAAAATCCCCACAATGCTTTGCACACGGACCAATTTACAAAATATTTGGCGGAAATCGCGCTCCATTTAAGGCGGGGCCTCGCATATGACGCACACCTGCTCACCTGTTAGCCTGTTCCACCATTCTTCGTTTTTCGAGGCTAGGAAGGATTCTTGCCTCGCTTCTGAAGGAAGTGACTCGGAAGACATGTCCTACCAAGGAAGCGTCCTCGACATTGAGAAACACCCAAGGACTTTAACCTGAGTCGAAATATCAGGTCACCCTGCTACTCTCTTAAGACAACTAGTGCCAGGTGTGTGACTACCATGCGCAGTAACGTGTCCCCCATTCTGCCCCTCCCCCTCCCCCTCCCCGTGCAGGAGCAGGCTTCCTGGGTGTGCCGGTGTGAGGACCGCGTGGTGCAGCGGCTGGAGCAGGACTTCAAGCTGACCCTGCAGCAGCAGAACTCCCTGGAGCAGTGGGCAGCGTGGCTGGACGGGGTGGTCTCCCAGGTCCTGAAGCCCTACCAGCAGAGCCCCGCCTTCCCCAAAGCCGCCAAGCTCTTCCTGCTCAAGTGGTCCTTTTACAGGTGGGAGACGTTGGACATTTATATTCCACTGTGTTGTCTTGTGTAGTGTAGGTGACAAGATCCTCTGCTGCTCATTGAAGATGAAAATCTGTGTTTTTCACATTTATCAGCCGTAGGGAGTCATGAGGTAATCAGGTGACCAAAACCAGACTCAAAGTAAAACATGCACAGAAAGAGAGAGAGAGATGCAGGGCTGCAGTCGACTCGTCCAAAAACAATTACATCTTTTTTTAACCATCTTTTCACCACCTCGATGAAAAACTTCACGATATCTGCTCCTGAATGTTTAGAGTATTTTGATTTTAAATTCCACTGGCTGCACGCTCCATAAATGTTTTTATATATATTTGTTTATAGCTTAATAAGTACTGTAGACAGATAGTGAACTAAGAACTACGATAGTGACTTGTTTGGTAGGATGATAACGACTCTGTACCCGTCTGTCCAAACTAAAAATTAGTTGTATCTTCAATATAGGAATGCATTTCTGGCAAATACGGGAAGACTGGATATGAATTGTTCCAACATTAGTTGTAAAAGAGCAGTTCTCTCTTATTCGTTGAACTTTCTCATAGTGAAACCCTAAGACACACTTCCTGTTGGTGGTTGAGAAGAAGAAGAAGTGATATGGTGTACCGATGACTTAAATCCCCTGTTTCTGTTCTCCAGCTCCATGGTGATCAGAGATCTGACCCTGAGGAGCGCAGCCAGTTTCGGCTCCTTTCACCTGATCCGCCTGCTGTACGATGAGTACATGTACTACCTGATAGAGCACAGAGTGGCCCAGGCTAAAGGAGAGACCCCCATCGCTGTCATGGGAGAGGTACCAAAGCGCACAAACGCATAAACATGAAATAAATACAAACAGACTCAAAGACAGTTTCTTCCCCAGAGCAATCATGGCACTGAACTCTTGCACTAGTCTTCCTCCCATGTGCAAAAACCCATACATGTCCAATATATATAATGTATCATCCACACATACATATTTACTATACTCTACTAATTGAATTATTTCCTGCACTTTATTTTGTTATTATTTTATGTATATATGAATGCTGCGTGTCTTTGTTGTATGTTGTCTATTCTGAATGTTTTAAAAGGAGTAGCTTTACTCTTCTCGTTGTACTTGTATAATGACAATAGATGCTTCTAATTCTAATCTAAATAAATAATATAAGCCATGTAAATAGTACTAACACATTTCCCCTCTGCCATTAGTTTGCCAGTTTAGGCCGGGGGCTCAACCAGCTGGATCCTGACAAAGGTAAATACACAACATTTTTTATATTTATAGTATATATTTAATACATTTATTTGATTTATTACAGTTAGGTTTAAATACAGATGCATGCCTCCCTTTGTGATATTTTAAAGTCTTAACATCAACCATTTACTGTAGAGCAGTGGTTCCCAACCTGGGGGAAATCGCAGGGGGTGCCTCAGATGATTTGAGGCCTAATATCATATTGAGACTTTTTTTTTTTTTTACATATAATTGTTACACAATACATGATTGTCGCAAAAAGCCTTGTCTCTACATTACAATAAAGTATACAAAATAATTGATTCATTAATTTTAATAAAAATTCAAGTTAGTAGCTAATAAAGGCATAAAAAGACGAAATGCTTAATCTTTTCTAGAATTGTTTCTTCTGCCCGTAAAGTGTCCAAACCGGGCTTTTCTGGATAAGCACATTTTTAAAACATAGTCATTGTCCATGCCGGTTTCAGTTGGATTATTTGTCACAGTTGCTCCGATCAGATCGGTCTCCTCCATTTTGTAGATTATTTACGACTTTTGAATCCACATAAACACATCGGTAAAATCCGGCTTACTTTGAGCATGTATTTTAAACAGTTTAATCCCTTTGTGAATTGTTTCCACTTGCGAGTCCAATAACCATCAAAGTCACTCCAATAGTGCTCCTTAATTACGCTTTCATCCTCCTTTAACAACATACTTCACATTCATCCTGTTTGTGACAGTAGTTGTAGCATTTTGAGACTTTTAAACTTTAATTACCGAAGTTGCGCCCCCCCCCCAAAAAAAGGTTGGGAACCCCTGATTTTATCACATAATATTTGTCTTGGTAAAAAACATGTTTTGAATTTCACATCTTCCTTATTTTTTAAATAAATGTTGACTTTTGGACGTGCTCTGCTCTTTTGAAATGTTGGAATCACACATGTCAGAAACAACCCTATGCAGCCGCAAATGACTAATATTAGAGCTGCCTACTCTCTATCGGAAACCGTGCCAAAATACCAATACAAAACAAAGCTCCTAAACATTTGATCTATTCAGATCAGCCCTACGTCAAATCTCAAGCTGTGTTAATAACTAACTCAATTCCCTTTGTCCATCCCAGAAGAGGAAGAGGAAGAGGAGGAGGAGAGTGATGATGAAGGTCAGGAGCTGTCACTTCCTTCAGACGGGGGGGTGCTAGGAGACGAGTCTCTGGAGCCGCCTGCCAAGCTGGCCCGAATGGACCAGAGAGTCCTGTTCAGCACCGGATCAGCTGACGACTGAGCACACAGTCACACAACTAGCTGGGGCCGATCGTAGTGAATATGCACACACACTCACACACACACACACACACACACACACACTAGCACACACACACACACAGTAGCACACACAGATGTACAAAAACCACTAATTTATACACTCCACACATGTATATAGATCTTGTAAATGTGTGTGTGCGCACTTCTGCTGCATTCTGTAAATGGTTACGCACACACACAATCAAAACATTCAGTACTGCTGTTGCCTGAATGGCAGAACCACCTGTTGGCACCATTGACCCGATTCACAATCGTTGGCACCGCAATAGGACGTGTCTTCAAAACCCATAGAGCCAATGTGATGAAATAAAAAGACCCTCAAAGTCACTCTCTCAAAAAAAATCTCCAAATAATGACTTGGTATCTCAGAATAATAAGATAAAAAATATATAAGAACAAGAAACCTTCTCTGACGTTTCTTACTATTAGAGATAGTATGACATGGTATTGCGATACCATTTGTTGTGTTTAGCGATAGTATGTCATTATGGTGAAATACTTAATTATTATACTGAGATACTATCTCAACCAAGTCATTTTTTAAATATACTTTGTCATTGTTTTTCAGGTAGTAAGTATTATTTTGAGGAAGTTTCTGATAATGAGGATATATTTTTTTGTTATCACATTGACATGAATGGGCTTCCATAGGCAGCAACACAGAGCATGTGTTAACCCTCAGTTGTATTGACCTGTAAAACTGCCAGGCATGTTTTTTTCCATTCTCTGTCATTGCATTACAACCTGTAGCCTCGCTGTCTCCTAACTCAAAACATCCGCTCACCTCCTGAAACTGTCACTGCCGTATCAAAGTAGTCATGGAAATACTGTGATGTGTGTGTGCGTGTGTAAAGGTAATCTCTACAGGAGGAGGGTGCAAAACCGACCTTAAACAGTGAACGATTGCTACATTTAGTTCGTAAAAAGGGACATCAGTGAGAGACAGCGGGAGGTTGGGATATTTGTTTGATGTGTTTATTTCTGTTGGAGCACTGAGGGTCACACTGCTCTGCTGTTGCTTCTGGAGGCTGACTGAACATGCTTTTCTATGATGGTGTGTGTCTGGTTGTGAGTCATGCCAATTGTTGACTGTTTCCTCTGTATATATATATATTTTTTAAGGTGTTCATTTGGGAGAATAGTACCTGTTTTATTTAATTTGCCTGTAAAGAAAAAAAACCTTCTTGGAGTGCCTGTCGCAGCTGCTACTCACACTTGTATAGAAACATCTACGGCTGTGGAATCGGGGCTCCCATTAGTTGCTGCAAAAAAATCCTCTCTCTTTTATTGAACATGTGGCTCCATGAGTAGAGGTACTGTATGTATGTGTCATATTTATATGTTTTAAGTACTTCATTCCTTTTCATCCAATAAGTTCCTCTATGGCCTCATTTTCCATTGACTTATAATTCTGCTGCCTTATTTCTCTTTTCCATGTGTGCCAAACCTTTGCTTTGTTCCCATTGTTTTAAAATGATCCATCTTTGTTTTAAGGGGGACTGTGCCTGAGTAAGAACGCTGATATATTCTAATATTCTGATGTATATTTATTCACTATTTTGAATTTTGTTGTCACTAAGTGAACCTCTTGTGCAGTGTATGGTGCTGTGATGTCACACATTGTAAGCAACCTTTGTGTGCTTTCTTAATTTGTGATTGTAAATTTAGTTATTAATCCTCTATCATATCTGATGGCTTTTCCACAAACAGGCTAAGGCCCTGCCTCTTTGCACATATCGACTATTGTCTTGAAAACTCAGACAGAGTTATCTGAAATGTTTTCCCCTTTCTTTGAAGTCTTAAGTGTTTTTCTTTAATGGTGGGGTGAAGGTGTCAGATGTCGTACGAACATCTCGTACCACTCTGTGGTGAGAGGTGAGATCTGCTTTCTGCACAGTCCTCCACCGACACTCATCTCCCTCCACTGTGCTTTCATCTCGCTGCATTTCCGCCCTCCTGCCAATGGCTTTGTTTTGCTTCAAACATCCATATTCTTAAACACTGTTCGTCATGATTGGTTGTCGTAAACATGTCATTTTTGGATTTATGAATACAATGTCTTTAAATAGCTGCGATGTTCATGTTTTCAACAAGCATCGCCAGCCTCAAACCAGCACATCAATCTTTATATACGAGTCTAACGTTACCACAGCTGAGTACATATCATCTACAGCAAATAGAATGGCCATTGTTTAGTAAGACAAATGTTCAGTCATTTTTATAGTGCATTGTTTCTTATGTACAAAACAATTGAGAAAAAAAGATGTTCAGTGGCAGTGTTTTATGAATTTGGTCTGCTATAAGTATGACTGTGCCTTTGGAGGTGGTAGAATGCAATTCAGATGTTTTAATTTTAAAGATATAAATTAAAGAATTTTTAAAATTGCTCTCTTGTAGATAATTGTTTCCTTTAGTTTAACAAGTGTCTTTGTTGAACAGTAACTACAGTCATATCTCTCAGATCATCAGTTTTTATAATCTTTGTGGCCTTACTAAACTAGAGTCTTTTTTTTCATAAACTGACTTCCTGTCTCAGACTGTCACACACTTCTGCTGCAAAGTACAAAGAGTTACAGGAACAGAAACCACAAACATGTCCTTAGACAGTCAAAGATAAAACGTGTTGTTGACTGTAAGTGTGTGAAAACTCAAAATGATGCAAATTCAGTTTAAAACGAGATCTTTAAAATATGTTCCTCTAAATGGGTTTCATCTATTTAGTAACACTCGATTATTCTTAGAAAAGCTAACAGTGACATCTAGTGGTGATTCGTCTCAAATGTGATTTAGTTATATCTGCTAGCAGTGGGCAATGTTTTAAAGGTGGGGTAGGTACGTTTCAGAAACCGGCTCGAGTGCACTAAAATTTGAAAGTACACAGCCGAAAAGAATCCGCCCCTTCCTTCGTTTGTACAAAACATGACGACAAAACGTTCAACACACACTTTAAAGTAATCAACATCTGCCCCATTTTAATTCAGAGTATTGCTGCTGGTGGTCATCTATTAACAATAGCAACACTGCGTCAAAGCTGCCATTCAAAATACATACCTGATACATCTCTGTAAGTCCAAACCGACAGCCTTATATTGCTGAATATATGTATATCTTCAAGTGAGACACATTGGAAGACTACATTTCATTCTGTTACGCACAATGAAGGGTAAAATATGTAAACATACTCGTTGGCATCCATGAACAAAGTAAGTATAAAACGTGCATTAAAATCACAGCATGATGCAAATGTGAGTTGAATTTAGCCTTACATAACACTATTTTAGAATATATGAAAACTACAGAGGGTGTCAGGAGCTCCAAATTAGGATGAGGTATGCAGTTGCCTCAAGGTGAATGCCCACTCCCAGTATGTTTTAAAAGGTCTGGTGGGTGTTAATGGCAGGGAAGTTAAAAGGAAGGCCATAACGAAGATGCATTACCTGATGACCCATACATCCTGCAACCTACGAGCCATTATACAACGTTGTCCTTCAAACTTCATGGACTCCAGGACTAAGTCTAGTACCTGTCATTGACGCTCCCTATTTAAAACTATTTCACATAACTTGCATGTCCTTAGCAGATAAAGGGGGGGGGGGGGTGTTTTCATCATATATCTCAAGCAGCTTTCAGCAATGAATCGTGAGTCCACATGCACCAATCAATACTACAAATCTATTTGTACACTTGCAATACAAAATGCTGCATATGAACACATTCATAAGCAAATGAAAAATAATCAAAATGTAGAAATACCAATAAAGTCTTAGCTAAATCAAGAAGAGTCAAAGAATTCAATTAAAAAGAATGGGCAAATCAAATGAGCTTTAAAAAGGGACGACTGGTGATACACAATATGATATAAGACCTGATAGCTAGGGAGATGAGGATGATTATATATTTTTAAAAGCAACTCCTCTGCAGTAAAGAAAGCATGTCAAGGCTTCCATATATATATAAAGGCATTCATAAAATATATTTAAAAGGTATTGAGAACCTGTGTGGTGGGATATCAGTCCTTTGCCTCAGCTGCAAAGCACTGGAAAGCTTGTTCAGTTGACAATGTTCATTTGGAAAGTTTCCACGTGTGGTGAGGAAGGGTTTCACTTCCACTCTAAATAAAAGATAAACAGGCTGGATCCCGGACTTAAATTCGGGGTCGTCTTCTTCATCCTGTCTTCCTGATTCCTTCTGCCATCACTGCGTCTAAAATACAAAAAGTTGAAAGGAAGCACATCCGTTGTATTTTAGAAAATAATGTATTTACTTCGGATGGATTGAAAGCAAACCTCGGTGTCAGATGCAGGATCCACAGAAGCAGGATGAAAGCCTCGCTCTGTACCGACCTGTCCCTGCTGTGGAGCGGCTGGCTGTCCGGCTGCCTGTCCGGTCTGTCCGTAGTACGACGCCTGCAGCCGGTAGTACTCCGCCCAGGCAGCGCTGTAGTCCGGCTCCCCCCCCGCTGTGGACGCTGCCCCCCCCGCTGCTCCTCCAGGTGCAGCAGGTGCAGGGGCAGAGCCGCCTGCCTGGCCTGGAGGAGGGATAAAAGAGACACATCACCATAACAGTCACTTCCACTTTAAGAACAAGTTCACCTGAGGAAACAACAAATCAACACGTATTATCTCTGATCAGGTTTTGATGTTTAAGTGACAAAATATATCTTACTCAAACCAACTCGATGCACACTAATGCTAAGCAACACAAATCAGAAATGTAATAAAACATTGCAAAAGATGAACCAAATTCAAATTTTGAATTTACATTACATTTTCAAAAATAAAATGGATGTCATGGATATTATTTTTGTTTATTGTTATTTTTATGATGTGTTTATGTGCTTTTGTGGTTTTATCTTGTATTTTGTATGTCACTGCCTAACAACAAATTGTTTTGGGGGATATTATCAACTACATTTGTCCAAGAATAAGATTCAGATTGATTCTATTAATGTTTAATATTTTCACTGTTAAACCAAAGCGAGTTAGGTAAAAAGTTCCATTTGAGCATGTGAAGAAATGAGAAAAAAATGAGAGCTGAGTTTGACCTGCATTAGTTCTAAAAGATGGCACTTTATTACAGCTTCACCGGACTTGGCCTGACTACTGCTATGGGTTGTCTGGGCTAGTCGCTTATCGCTTAGCTTAGCTGACAAATGTTAAAATGGGTCAAACACCCACATTTGGTAAGGCAAGGCAAGTTTATTTATATAGCACCTTTCAACACAAGGCAATTCAAAGTGCTTTACAAAAAATGAAAGACATTAAGAAAATGCCATTTAAAATCAGTCATTAAAAAGAAAAGATAATAAATTAAACATTAAAAGAAAAAATACATGGATAAAAGTTACAGTGCAGTTTAAGATATGAATTGTTCAATTAAAAGCAGCGACAAAAAGAAAAGTCTTCAGCCTGGATTTAAAAGTAGTCAGAGTTGCAGCGGACCTGCAGGTTTCTGGGAGTTTGTTCCAGATATTTGGAGCATAATAACTGAACGCTGCTTTACCATGTTTAGTTCTGACTCTGGGTAGTGTTAATTTCGTTGACTAAATCTATGACGAAATATGTTCGTCAACGACCTTTTTTTCCATGACGAAAACGAGACGATGACGAGACGGCACCGACGGCAGTAAACAATAACTGCAACGAAATCATCATGCAATATCGTTGACGAAAAGTGACGAGACGAAAATGTAGTTCACTAAATAAAAACTATGCCAAAATCTCTCTTTACTTTCGTTGACGAAAAATGAGGAGACGAAATATTATCAAAGATAACGTTATATCTCTGATAGTCAGTTTTTCTCCCAGCAGTTCCATTTCCGGGGCTGCGGCTGGGCAGCAGCTGTGTGTCTGTGCTGCGCGCGGCGGTAGATTTGAATTACACCGGGCAGCGGCACACTGTGAACTGTCAGGAAGACTCGGGTCTAACTCATGGTCTAACTAACCTTATTTAACAGAAAATGAAATGGCAACAACAGGGCTTGGGAGCAGTGGTCGCACTCGCGTTAACCGAATACCCCCCCGTCAGCGCGAGTGATTGATACATTGTGCACTCGACGGATAATAATGGATTATGACGGAAATGTTACGATCCGTCAAAATTACTGACAACGAAAAAGTCTAAAGCCACCACTGCTTGGGAGAAAGAAACAACGTGATATTTGGGCCCATTTTCACTACAATGAGGCGGAGAAAAAAAGCGAATGCATTGTTTTATCAGAAGGGAAGCAATGTGGCCAAAACACAGCTGGTAAAAACACCACAAACCTGAGCAGATACTCTCTGCAAAGCTTCTTAATCATTCAACCTGTGTTTTTCATCAAATAAGGACAAGATATAATCTTATTTATTTATATATACTAAAATGACAAATTATTGGTTTTGGCTATACTAGTTTCATTTGACTGAAATGTTCTATATAATCTGATTACTAAAAAATACTCAACAGTTTTTATTGACAAAAAGTAGACTAAAATAATTAGTTTTCTTTGACTAAAATAAGACTAAAATGCTCAGACTTTTAGTCGACTAAAACTTGACTAAATAAAAACAGGATGAAGGTGACTAAATATGACTAAAACTAAAAAGGACATTTAACACAGGACTAAGACTAAAACTAAATTAAAAAATAGCTGACGAAATTAACACTAACTCTGGGGACAGAAAGCTGACCAGTCCCTGAAGACCTGAGAGATCTGGATGGTTCATAATTTAGCAGGAGGTCAGAAATGTATTTTGGGCCTAAACCATTCAGTGCTTTATAAACCAGCAGCAGTATTTTGAAATCTATTCTTTGACACACAGGAAGCCAGTGTAAAGACTTCAGAACAGGAGTGATGTGATCCACTTTCTTAGTGTTAGTGAGGACTCGAGCAGCGGCGTTCTGAATCAGCTGCAGCTTCCTAATAGATTTTTTAGTGAGACCTGTGAAGACACCATTGCAGTAGTCGAGTCTACTGAAGATAAAAGCATGGACAAGTTTTTCCAAATCCTGCTGTGACATTAGTCTTTTAATCCTAGATATATTCTTTAGGTGATAGTAGGCTGATTTAGTAACTACTTTTTGGTGTTGGTCAATCATCCCTAACAAAATGAATTCCTTCTAAGTTGTATGGGTTACATAAAACCCATTAACATTATGTATTTAGTCTCCCGGCTGAAGTTGATGATGACTGGTTTAAAGCAGCAGAACATTTCAGCACCAATAGAAAAGCAGGTAAAGCTCCAGAGGGAGTTGTTCTGCAGCCTCACCCATCTGCTTGTAGTACTCCTCCCAGGCCTTGCTGTAGTCTGGCTGGCCCCCGGGCGTCTGTGCAGGCTGGGTCTGCTCCACTGAAGGTTGGGCCCCTCCTCCTGCCGGGGTAGCGGGGTTCTGGGCTGGACCCCCCCCTGGCGGCTGATGGTAGTACTGAGCGTAGTAGGCCGCCCAGGCTGCGTTGGGGTCATTGGCTGCTGCCATGCCTAGAAAAGATGCAGGGTGGAGGGGGTGAGGTCCTGCTACTGGCCTGGAGACCGGGCTTGGAGACCAGGGGGGAAACAGAGACACGGTTAGCTGCTGCTCAACGTCAAGACATCTCATCACAACATTACCATCAGTACTCCTGTTCACCTTCCTAGACTTAGAAAACAAAAAGGCATTACTCATCTGAAAATAGCACGGTTAAAACGTATAGCCTGGGATGAAAGCACTGTAGCAGCCAACATGCTAAAAAGAGCATAAAATAAACATTGATCCCCCAAAACCAGGAGAGGCAGTGAAGTCAACGGTGACTCACTGGGGTCATGGGGGGCCTGGGGCTGCCATTGCTGGTAGGTGTTGCTCCAGCCCTGAGGGGGGTACTGGTGAGGACCACCACTGAGGAGAAGAGCAATGGTTGGCATCACTATGACATGATAGGGAAACAAATTATACTCTGAAATGCAACTTTACAAACTATTGAATTTAGAAGAAAACTAAGTCTTCTGACCAAAATGTTTTTTCAGGTTATATTTTCCATCAACAATTTATTAAAACAAGTTAAAGAGGAAGCCACAACATTAGCCTTTGGTGGCTGCTAAACAAATAGCAAAAATGGTTCATTCATGAGATTTCAGCACATAAAACCACCACTGATCTCTTATGCAGCTACAGAATAAAAATCAGCTACTTCTCAGTCCGGTAACATGCCCCCTCGCTTATTTTCCCCTTCAGATTTGCACGGATTTCATACATGGCGTCTCTGTAATCCAGTGAACAGAATCATGTTGTAGCTACGGAGAACTTTAATATCTGAAGCTTAACAAACGGTTGTATGATAGTCCTTGTTACTCACTGTGGTGGTCCGGGCGCCCCAGGCGGTCCAGGGTTGTATGGGTCAGGGTTGTAGAGACCCATTGGACCTCCAGGACCTGGTCCACCTGGCCCCGGGCCCACAGGACACAGTGGGATCTGAAACATGTTAATTAATCCAAATGAAGAAGAACCGACATATTTACCTATGTGTAAGTACAAATTAAAATAGAAAGTACCTCAATCTTCTCCTCGATGAGCTGCTTGGCGTGGTCGATCTGCTGCGGCGAGCCCCGGATGATAAAGATCTTGAAGTTGGGGTCTCCGTTGGGGGGGGGTTGTCGGCAGATTTCTACAAAGGCCCCTGTCTGCTGGTTGATGGATTTAACGTTCTCTCCTCCCCGGCCAATCACAAGTCCACACTTGTGGGCAGGAATAGAGAAGGTAATTTCCCCTCCAGGGGGCCCCCAGCCGCCTTGACCCCCACCTCGACCCCTGTTGCCTGCAGGCATGCCTGGAGGACCTGGGGGACCCTGTGGTTGGAGCGGAGAGAAAGCCTCAGTATTTTAGCAAGCATGCTTGAGGATTATTACATCTTGCTGCCATATGTTTACTATTATGCACAATTGATTGGGAATATACTTTATTACATTTACCCCCTGTCCCTCATCCCGGACCCTGATGCTCTGCAGCAGGTCGTTGATGATCTGAGAAGCGTGGTCGCAGCAGTCAGGGGGGCCACTGATGTGTGCGATCTTATCTGGACCAGTCCCATCATCTGTAGGAAAGATTGAAATCTGCATTTAGCTGTATTCTTTTTTTTGTTTTATCAAATGACCTATGTGGAAGGGTCCATGTAAGTGCCTCAACTCAAAACCTCACACAGGCCAGGTAAAGGCTACCTGCTCTATTATTGAAAAATCAGTTCAACACAATAATGGATGTTAAGTCAATAAAAAAGATGACACCAAATTTGCAACCAAAGTGAGAGATTTGCCTGATTCAGCAGATATTGGGCAACATCACAATGCAAGCAGCTGTCTGTAAACCCTTTTACAGAAAAGGGACAAGGTAATTGCTCTGGTGAAATAAAGACACCACGTCTTTCATTTACATTTATCATTCGTTAAAAGACAAACAAGTATAGGGACAATGAGAGCCAAAAAGGTGCCTTTTTTATGAATCGGCATCAAACTTTCATGTTCTCTTGACATTGATTTGAACGTTTATGTGCGGTTAATAGAACATCAACATATTAATCATTAAAGTCAATTCAAGGCCTGACTCCTACCTTGTTTGAACTGTATCCTAACTCCGGTATCATTCTGGATTTTCTTGATCATCTCTCCATTGCGCCCGATAACCACACCGACTGAGTGTCTCGGTATAGGAATCTATGTGGAAAACAGACGTTTTTTAAAACCAATTTGGTTCAAAGGCAACTTATCCCACTTCTTATTTTGCTCCGTCTCACACAAACTCACATCCATGCCTCCTCCCATCCGGGCGCTGAAGTCATTTCTTTCATTGAAGCCACCGTGGTCCCTCTCCCTCAGAATGTCCTGCACCATCTCCTGGGCTTGCTGAAAAGGAAAACACGATGATGACATTACATGGCAACTGGACACAACAGATTTATGTTGACATTTATGAGAAGATTATATAAATGTACTTTGACTTTATAGGGATCTCCGATGATGCGTAGGGGCTTGTCGACGTTGGGTCCCTGAGTGACATCCTGGATCAGAATCATCTTCACCCCTGCACGCTCCTGGATTTCACGCGATTGTGCATTATCATGATTGAATACTGGACGTATGCTTTAATGTAGTTACAGTTTCTAAAATGCAGTTTACCTGCAGCTGTTTGATAGTCTCTCCTCCCTTTCCAATGACCAGCCCAGCCTTGCCTGCTGGGATCATCATCTCGTGCACCGTGCCGCTCTGCCCGTTGGTGGACTCGTGATAAGAAGAAGGGGGCGTACCCCTCCCTCGAGACACGATCTCGTCCAAAAGCCTCCGGGCATTCCTATCCAGGGAAGAGCTGACCAGTTACTCTGCGTCCTTTTTACAAAATGTTGTAATCAAGCTGATCTAACGGCCATTGACAGTAAGCAATTAAGGTCTGTACAGGTTAACCATTTACAAATAGCATCGTAGGGCTTCAAACTAAGTGCCTAATTTATATAAAGCTGGGCCAGACATTATTTTTGAAATAATTTGATACATTAATCAAAATGGTTTATTAATTGGCTCCTTTCATGGCAGTCAGGGTCACATAAAATCAGTGATAACAATCTAATTTTTAAGCAATGTTCTTGCCAGGCTTTTTTGGACAAATTTGACAAATACATGGGCACCCAACATCATACGTAACATAAACAAAACAAAAGTGAGCCTATTTTCATAAGGTCTGATACTTACTGTATGGAGTCTTGGGAACCTGTAAGAGACACGCTCCTGTCTGGAAGGCCTCCACTGTCTGGACACACACACATAGAATACCAATATTAAAATTAAAAAGGTAAACTATAGTGAAAATGTAAACCAGTGGATGAGTAAAGCAGTACCTGGAGCTATCTGAACCTTGCAACCGGACTCCTGTTGAATCTTATTGATCTGTTCACCCCCACGGCCAATAACTGTGGACAAAGAGAGATACAACTTTGTTGTGAGTGAGTCACACTCTCAAAGCGTATCTTTTTGTGTGCTAAAAGTAAAACTGAGTTGGTTTGAACTCACTGAGTCCCACCATGCTGTCCGGGACACTGTATTCCTCTGTGTTGGAGGCAGGCCTGGAACTATCAGCAGGCAAGAATGACAATCAGGGAAAAAGAGGCAATAAATCAGGCAACATTTATAAAAAGGTTTCAAACTTATACATACAAACACCTGAAAATGATCAGATCCTACCTTTGTAGGGCAGCCAGTTGTGCACCAATAGCTGAGACATAAACAGAAAAAAAGAGATTATAGCTGGAAACCTAATAGAGGTGTCATACATAATAACCTAATCAAAGTAAATGTAACAACTACTACAGTGCAACAAAACAGGAATATTAAATGTGGTCTCTTAAACATAAGATCTCTAGCATCTAAAGCAATATTGGTAAATGATTTAATATCAGATTATAATATTGATATATGCTGTCTCACTGAAACTTGGTTGAGACATGAAGAATATGTCAGCATAAATGAGGCCACTCCACCCAGCCATATCAATACTCATATTGCCCGAGGCACGGGCCGAGGAGGTGGAGTTGCAGCCATCTTTGACTCAAGTTTACTTATCAATACTAAACCAAAATTAAATTATACCTCCTTTGAAAGTCTCGTTTTTAGTCTTATGCATCCGACCTGGAAAACTTTGCAGCCAATCTTATTTGTTACAGTGTACCGTGCACCAGGTCCTTATTCAGAATTCTTATCTGAATTCTCTGAGTTTTTATCAACTTTGGTTCTTAAAACAGATAAAGTAATTATCGTAGGTGACTTTAATATTCATGTTGACGATGATAAAAATAGCCTTACTGTTGCATTTAACTCTATATTAGATTCTGTTGGTTTCTGTCAGAGTGTAAATAAACCAACCCACTGCTATAATCACACTCTCGACCTTGTTCTGATTTATGGTATTGAAATTGAGCAACTATTAGTCGAACCGCATAATCCTGCTTTATCCGACCATTTCTTAGTAACTTTTGAAGTACTGTTACGAGACTACAAAGCATTAGTCAAAAGCTCCTGCAGCAGAAACCTATCTGTTAGTGCTATAGCCAAATTTAAGGAAGAGATTCCACCAATACTTAACTCGATAGCATGTCTGCATGTAAGGGAGGACACTTATACAAAATGTACACCACCCCAAATTGATCATGTTGTTGATAGTGCTACAGATGCGCTGCGAATAAAATTAGACTCTGTTGCTCCTTTGAAAAAGAAGAAAATAAAACAACATAGACTATCTCCATGGCATAATGTCGAAACCCGCAAAATAAAGCAAAAGTCGAGACAACTTGAAAGGATATGGCGTTCTACTAAACTTGAAGAATCTCGTTTAATTTGGCATATTACTCTCAATGAATATAAGAAAGCATTGCGTAAAGCGAGAGCAGCTTACTACTCTTCATTAATAGATGAGAATAAGAATAATGCAAGATTTCTTTTCAGCACTGTAGCCAGGCTGACAGAAAGCCACAGCTCGATTGAGCCTTCTATTCCCATAGCACTCAGTAGTAATGATTTTATGTGCTTTTTTAACGATAAAATTGTTACTCTTAGAAACAAAATTAATGACCTCTTGCCTTTGACCAGTATAGTGTTATCAACAGCTCCCGGAAACGTAAGTTCTAATATTACACTAGATAGTAAACTAGAATGCTTTTCAGCCATAAACCTTGAACAATTAAATTCAATGATTCTCTCTTCTAAACCATCAACGTGCATGTTAGACCCAATTCCAACTAAGCTGTTGAAGGAAGTTTTTCCATTAATTAGCACTTATTTATTAAATATTATGAATATGTCTTTATTATCAGGCTATGTTCCACAATCATTCAAAGTAGCAGTGATAAAACCGCTTCTTAAAAAGCACAACCTCGATCCAGAGGTTTTAGCCAACTATAGACCTATTTCTAATCTTCCGTTCCTCTCAAAAATTCTTGAGAAAGCGGTCGCAAAACAGTTGTGTGATTACTTAAAAAACAATGATTTATTTGAAGCTTTTCAGTCTGGCTTTAGAACACATCATAGCACAGAGACAGCTCTGGTTAAAGTCACAAATGACATTCTAATAGCCTCTGACAAGGGACGTGTCTCTATTCTTGTTTTGCTCGATCTCAGTGCTGCATTTGATACTATCGACCATGATATCTTATTGCAAAGACTAGAGCACTTAGTTGGCATACAGGGAACTGCTTTAGACTGGTTTAGGTCCTATCTATCTGAACGCTCTCAGTTTGTACGTGTCAATGATGAATCTTCCACGCAAACCAAAGTTAGCCATGGAGTGCCACAGGGCTCAGTGCTCGGACCTATTTTGTTCACATTATATATGCTTCCGTTAGGCAATATTATAAGGAATCATTCTGTAAACTTTCATTGTTATGCGGATGATACTCAACTATATTTATCAATCAAGCCTGATGAAATTAATCATCTAAATAAAATTCAAGACTGCCTTAAGGACTTAAAAACGTGGATGACCTTAAACTTTTTGATGTTAAACACGACCAAAACTGAAGTTATTGTACTTGGCCCGAAGAATCTACGAAACAAATTATCTAAGGATATACTAACTATGGATGGCATTAATTTGGCCTCCAGTGAGACTGTAAGGAATCTTGGTGTTATATTTGATCAGGATTTATCCTTTAACGCCCACATAAAATCAATTTCAAGGACCGCCTACTTCCATCTACGTAACATTGCAAAAATCAGGCATATCTTGCCTCAAAACGATGCAGAGAAACTAGTCCATGCATTTGTTACTTCAAGGCTGGATTATTGTAACTCTTTATTATCAGGGTGTACCAAGAAGTCAGTCAAGTCGCTTCAGCTGATTCAAAATGCTGCGGCTCGTGTACTAACCAGAGTTAGGAAAAGGGACCACATTACTCCTGTTCTGGCTGCCTTACACTGGCTCCCTATAGAACACAGGATAGAATTTAAAATTATTCTTCTCGCCTACAAAGCCCTTAATGGGCAGGCGCCATCTTACCTTAAAGAACTCATTATACCCTACTGTCCTACTAGGGCATTGCGTTCCAAGAATGCAGGGTTGTTGGTTGTTCCTAGAGTCTCTAAAAGTACAATGGGAGCCAGAGCCTTTTCTTATCAAGCTCCACATTTGTGGAATCAGCTTCCAGTTTGTGTTCGGGCGGCAGACAACCTATCCGTTTTTAAGAGTGCGCTTAAGACCTTCCTTTTTGATAAAGCTTATAGTTAGGGCTGATTAGATCCAGCCCCTAGTTTTGCTGATATAGGCTTAGTTTGTCGGGGGGACATCTTACTTCTTCCTTCTCTCTGTCTATACCTGTGTACTCTCATGTTCCGATTAACCCAGCTTCCCCAAATGTCTTTCTTTTTGGTGTCTATATACGCCGGGATCCGGAGTCATGGATGATCCTGCGCTCCTCTGTCCTGGATCGCGAGCCCTGGATCTTGAGTCGTGGCTGTGGTCCTGGATCATAGGTCCTGGATGGATATCCTCGTGGATTCATCTTCCTATTATACACACATGCATTTCCAAACATTTGGACTACCTATGTTGCAAATGTATTATCTTTTCAATTTACACACGGCATCTATTGCACGTCTGTCCGTCCTGGGAGAGGGATCCCTCCTCTGTTGCTCTCCCTGAGGTTTCTCCCATTTTTCCCTTTAAACTGTGGGTTTTCTCCGGAAGTTTTTCCTTGTACGATGTGAGGGTCTAAGGACAGAGGGTGTCGTATTGTCATACTGATATTTTGTACAAACTGTAAAGTCCACTGAGACAAATGTAACATTTGTGATATTGGGCTATATAAATAAACATTGATTGATTGAAGTCTCTACTAAATAGTGTCAGCTATATATATTTTTTATTTTTATCACAGCGCAAAAAGGAAACAGAACATTGCATAGAGGGATGCACTCACACAATGCATTGGCTGAATCCAAGTCACTCTGAGCAGCCAGCTTTTTACTCTCCGGTTCATCTGTCAGGCGCATGCAATACAGACAATACAGGTAAGAAAGGTATTTATTCAATTGGGTGACAAAATAAACCTTTTGATTAAGAAGACTGTGCACCGAGTAGTGAGGTGACCAATACCTGCATCCTCCAGCTGGCGTTTCTGTGCAGTGAAGGGAAAGCCATCTGATGCAGTGTTGTTGTTCGTGGGAGGAGGACCAGCATCAACTCCAATTTTTGCTGCAATCTGAAAAGAAAGAATAAAGGTAACCATAATAATAATAATAATTCCTTACATTTATTATAGCGCTTTTCCAGATGCTCAAAGCGCTTTACAAATACACATTACACATATCATACATGCAATGGTCACTGTGGACAATACCCACAGGAGCAAGTTCAGGTGAAGTGTCTTGCCCAAGGACACAACGGCTTTACAGACGCAGCAGCGGCGGGTTTCACCCCTTGATCTGATGATCATTGCACAGCGCGCTGCGCCACACCGTCCATCTTCACGCTTCAAAGTCATCGAGGCGCTTTCACAAGTACACATTAGTATCATACATGTACTGTGGACATTACCCACAGGAGCAAATCCGGGTGAAGTGTCTTGCCCAAGGACACAACGGCCTGACGCAGTGGCGGCAGGAGCGGGTTTCGAACTGGAGTTCCCCAGCACCCCCCTTGATCTGATGATCAGATGCACAGACCACTGCGCCACCCGTCCCCACCATGACAATTGAGCTGTAAAAAAACAGATTGTCCTACCCTCCCCTTCAAGCAGGGACGTGCACAGACATTTTGGGGGGCAGGAGGTCAAGTGAGAAACAGGGCACTTCCCATAATAATTTATAAAAAAATGTTTTGAAACAAAAAGTAAAAAATAGTTGCACATCTCTGACTTACTGACCAATTTATTTTAATACCCTTACACTCACGCAATTGTTTAATACTCAACAGAATTCTACAAAAATAATCAGCTAACACAGAGACAATGGTCATCTTTAGTATTCACTAAGCACAAGAGCAGACAACAAACTAGTACAATTAATAGTTATTAAATGAGCAACAAACAATCAAAATTATGAAGTTACTGTTTAAGGCAGGACATTACAGGCAAAAGATCGTTATGTCTGAATTCATATAGGTATAAAGCTAATCTGCATTTAAACATAACATTTCCGGGGAAAATACTGACTTGACCTAAGTAACTATCTGGGGAAGTTGTGAGGTGCTATGTTTTTTATCCTTTTCACCTGCAATGCCTTGGTAACTGCATGCAAATTTGCGCATTTTAATTAGGCCTAGTTAACACCTAATTTGCATATCAATGTGGTGATTGTGATTACGTTATTAGATACACATTGTACTGTATTCACCTGTAGTGTCTCCCCCTAAGTGCAGTAGGCCTACATTAGTCTGTATGCCCATGATAAATTGCCTTAGCTAAACCTTGAGCTAACTTATCCATTAGCTGTACCCTACTTTAACTATATTTGTTTCTGTCTTTTGGCTAATTAGCTGTAAACTCGAGGCACTGGCAGTTTAGTCATTTGTTCATCTCCACTCACCTTCAGACAAGCCAAGAAAAGCCGGCATAACATGGGACTTTAAGGTGGGAGGTGCTGCTACCTGTCGGTCTGAAGTGATTGCCGATGACTGTCCGCACCGCTGTGCGCGAGAAGTGGAGGGAGGAGGAGAGAGCATCGGAACTTCACAGTCTAATCTCCAGACCTGATATTTTTATTTTGTATTCAATCAATATATTTTTGGAAAGGGAAACTGTGCGCAAACAGCAGTAGATATATATTCATTTATTGGAGAAAAACAAATGGAAAAAAAAGCACCCCATAAAAAGGGCACTTTCTCTGGAGGAAGAAAAAGGGCAGGGGCTCAAGCCCACTTTGATGTCTATGTGTGCACGTGCCTGCCTTCAAGTGTGCCAACATGATAAAACTCAAGTAAGCTATACTTGAGACTGAGCATGTCAGACTTAAGGTCTGGAAGAGAATAACCTTTTTTATGCCAAGGATTTTTTCACAAACAAGGAATTGACTTGTTTTTTTGCAATGTTCTCAGTAGACATATGAAGGTAAAGAATAGACAGGACTATAATGTACAAAAGTAATAGGTGAACATGTAAAAAGTAGCCTATATAAATAAATGAAGTTGTCCAACTATCTGATCTGGGACATCCACGATAATAATATGAAGTCTAAAGTCAAGTCAAATCCACTTTATTGTCAATTTCTGTGTGTGATACAAACAGGGAAATCGAAATGCCACTTCTCACAGTCCCAAATAATACAAAAATAGAAATCCACTTAAAAATAACATAATAAATAATTAAGACTAGGCCTATATGCAGTAGTTATTTGATTGGATTTTGGTTATTTTACAAGTTTCCTTTTTTTCTTGGCTTGTTTTATGCCAACCAGGTGTTTGCCATCATACCTGCATGGGTTTTATATAAACCACCCCCACAGTTAGTATAAACATCAAACCCATAATGTTGTATTTTTATTGACTCGAATTTAGGTAATTGTTAAGCTAATCTTGCAAGTTTTATTTTCCTATCACCCTGTCACTTACTGGGTTTGTTGGGACACACAGACAGTGTTTCAGCTAATGTACGACAAGCAGCATACATTACTAGCTTACTTTTACTACTATTAACAATTCGTAAATACATGATAATTCAGAATATCAATAGTATATCATGCTGTGTTAACAATATTAGCCCATAAGCTAAGCAGAAAGCTAGCCCTCCCCCAGCTCAGCTGTCACCTCCCTCCTCCTCACCAGCCGGGCCCGCTGCACTGCGTCCGCGAACGCATCTTTCTGGATGCCTCCTGCCCCGTTCCCGAGAGCTGTCTGCCCGCCCAGAGGGTCCCCGGGTCCCGCTGCAGGCACCGCATTGTACTCCGACATGTCCACCAGAAGACAGGTGCTGGAAAGAAAGCAGAAAAGCAGGAGTTGCGCAACACTGGGACGAAAAGTAAAAAAACTAACGGATACAGGAAATCAACGGAGAGAAACGACGGAGGCCTGTAAGGTGCTTTCGCGTTTGTATTACTCTGTTATCATCATCGGTGTTGGAACCTTGGAACAAGTAGTAATAATATAATTTGCTTAAATACAAGTACAAATACTATGGTCTTAAAATATTCCACTACAAGTAAAAGTCCTGATTTAAATGTTCTACTTCAGTAAAAGTAATTGTATCAAAATGTAATTCGAGTACAAAAAGTACTCATCTGCTCAATGACCTGATTCAGGATAATATAAAGTACAGGAGTATTATCAGCTAAATGTACTTCAAGTTTCAACAGTAAAAGTACTCGTTATGCATCTTTTCACAGTATGTTATTATGAGGGTTTTAATTATATCATGTTTTTACTTTTTACACATTTAAGAGCATTTTAGTGTTGTAACTGAAAATGGACTACTGCATTATACTATATCAGCATGTGTGTTTTTATATTTACAAAGTAACGAGTAACTGTGAGCGTTAAAAATAAATGTACTGGAGTAAAAGGTATGATATTCACCTCCGAAATGTAGTGGAGATGAAGTATAAAGTACAAAAATGTCAAAAAAGTACTTAAGTACAGTAGCCTACTTGAGTAAATGTACTTAGTAACTTTCCACCAATGATCATAAGCCACATCAGCATTATGGTTGCCCTCATTTGGCTAGTTGTAACTTTAAGAGTATATTATATATATACTTTTTATAATATTAAATACTTACCTCTGCATTCAATTATTATAGGTTTTAGTAATAAACCACCTCTGAGAGCAGAAGTCTAGGGGAAATAAATGCAAGCAGATATTCAAGTGTACAACAATAGTACAATTTATTTTTTAAATTACTTCCATAACAAAACACATGATTGTTCATTAATATAAAGACGACTTTACAAAAAAACAGTGGCCAAAGAAGGACTCAGATATGTTGCTTAAGTAATACCACAGAATGACAATACCACACTGAAAAATCCTTCATTTCAAGTTAAGGTCCTTTATTCAATGTTATCAACGTAAAATAACTGTGTTAGCATCATAAATCAAGTATCTAGCCAACTAAAAAGTAGCCTACCTATATAGAATGGCCCATTTCAGAATAATGTAGGCTACATTGATGCATTACTTTGTACATAATTGTAATGATGCAACTGACAAAGGTGGGGATATTTCTAATAAACAGATAGGTGGATTGCTTGAAAATAGTGCAAGTAAATAAGTAAAAATAGTAAATTAGTAAAATTGTGAAAAAGTGCAATAAGAGCAATAAGAGTCTATACAAGTGATTGGAATATGATATATTAGATACATCATTTCTAAGATGCAGATGAATGTTATGGATGTTGTTTCAAAGTGCAGGTGTTTAATAGTCTTATGGCCTGTGGGATGAAACTGTCCCTGAGTCTGGTGGTTTTAGTCCGGATGCTGCGGTATCGCCTGCCAGACTGATATTTGGGGGAAATTCTGAATCTTTAAATTATATAATGTTCTGCATACAATTAACGTTTTCTATTCATGATATGCTTTAACATGCTTTTTTACACTGTTACAGGGAAGACCCAAAAATATAATCTCTGCATTGACATGATTACATAATCACATTAAATAATGAACATTGAACATAACATACATAGTATTGGCTGCATCAGAAAGTAATACAGCTGGATAATCACCAAATTTCTGGCAGGGTCCAACAGCGTTTGGAAAACTGTGCTTTATGTGCACTTTTTCTCTTTTGTTTCCAGAGTTACCAGCCTGCTTGTGTGTGCTAAAAAGAGTGCCTGCGTTTTGGGAGGCTTTGGTCCAACATTTCCACATCACTGGCTGAAATACTCATGCTGTCGACCCCAGAGGTGACATCAGAGCCCCCAAATCTAACGCTCAGCCATTCAGTCACTTTGGCACGTTCTCTTTGACTAAAAAAGGTGCCCCCAACTTCTCTGGGAACATCTCCGCTCACTGAAAACAGAATTTGAATGGTTTAACTACTTTTGTTGGAAATGGTCTGGATGTCAACGAAAAATGACCAATGCCAAAATATTGAAAATCCTTGAACATGTCTAAAATGTAAACAAAACAATATTGACGTCAACAAAAAAAATCATAACCATAAGGATTGCAGTTCATGGCATGATATCTGTACCCACACTTTTCCACCAGCTGTTCCAGGTGTTCGCCTTCTGTGGCAATGTGCTCCTCAATGGACCTTTCCTTGAGCCAGTCTTCCCAGGTAAACAGCACCATGCAGTGCCTCCAGACACTGTCACCGAATGGCATCAAGAGCTCAACCATTGTTTTGTAGTCATTCTCTGTAAAGGTTTTGAAAATGGGTACAACCAAGAGAAAAGCATTAGGACCAGGAGCACACATTGAGATGCTGTGCAGAACTTCAGTCTTGAGCCAGTCGGGTGTGATCTCGTCTGCAAACCAGCCTGGTGCCTCAACCACGGTGATGTTTCGTCGGGCAACATTGCTTTCATGTTTCTCACACATTGTGATTCTTCTCTGATCTTGGAATTCCTGCATAGAAGTAACCAAACAAAATAATATAACAACCAAAACAGACTTCAACAATCAGATGTTTCCCCCCAAAAAACCTGTAGAGGTTGGTTACCTTCTTCATCCGAGCTGTGCCAAACAGCTCTTCAAAAAGGATCATGTTTCCTGCCATACCCTTCCCAGAGTCTTTCGGGACGATAAGTACAACCCTATGGTCAATGTTTGTCTGCGTCTCCCCTTGGGAAATGTGAGTTTTTTTTAAATTAGAAATAGTAATAATAACTAAATTAATCATACATTCAGTTTTTTGATTACCTCGAAACAACTCTTTGAGTATTCTTGCTCGTCTTTGGGCCGTCTGACGAATCCTTTTTGCCTTCTTGTCTGCAACCTATTTTCTTGCCTCCATCTGCTCAGCACGGCCCAGGTTGACTTCAAAAGGACCATCTTTGTTTCCTGCCCACATCTCTTCAATCTTCTCAAGGAGCTCCGTTACCTGAGTCTCGTCACTGTGGTTTTTGTTATCCAAGACATGATACATGTTCCCACACTTCTCCACAAGCCACTGCAGACCCTTCTCACTCTCTATGCGCTCTTCCACAGTCTTCACTCCCAGCCAGTCACCTCTGGTAAACAGAACAATTGTGTGCTTCCAGACTTCATCCGTGAACAGACTCATGTGCTCCTGGACCGCTTTCTGGTATGTTGCGTTGAACGCGGATGCCAGGCCAACAACAAGGAGCACTGCGTGGGGTCCTGAAGTGCACAGATGCATGCTGTTTTCTATTTCAAGTTTATTCATCTCAGAGAGCTCCTGAAGGGTGCCGTTGTATAACCAGCCTAGAGAGTCTACCACTGTGAGCTGCCTGTCTGCCACCACACTGTGGTTTATTTTGCAGAACACAGTTGTTCTTGTGTGAGTAACAGGAAACGCATATTTCCTTAGAATGGTGTTGCCTGCTGAGCTCTTGGCTGACCACTGTGCACCAACCATCACTAGCCTCAAATGTGTTGGGGGAGTTTTGCCACCTAGAGACAAAGTGGAATAAAAAAATATTCAGACTTGAGGTTTTGTGCATCATTATGTAATTGTCAGGTTGACCATCAAGACTTTTTTTTACACTATTCAAACACCTAAGTCAGTAAAATCAGAAACCTCTCAAAGGGAAAAAAATAGTTTAAATTAATCTAGGAGGACGTGAGGTATCTTTGCAAATATAATTTGCGTTGTAATGTCAAAAGGCTATTGATAATCAAATCAAAAATGGATAAAGGTGGTGTTGTAGGAGCTGTGTTTCTTGACCTAAAAAAGGCTTTTGACACTGTTAATCATAAAATACTCATATCTAAGCTTTCCAGTTTTAACTTTTCTTCACAAACACTTAAATGGATAGAATCTTATTTGTTTAACCGAGTTTTTTTAACCAGTATGTGAGAGTTCAAAATCATGAATCTGTTGACCTTCATCTTTCGAAAGGAGTCCCACAAGGTTAAATCCTGGGACCATTACTATTTTCGCTCTATATAAATGATTTACCATCTGTATGTCCTGACACAAACATCCAAATGTATGCAGATGACACTGTAATATATGTACATGGAAGCAATATGACACAAGTGGCTAATGAACTGACAAACACCATGGTTCGTGTAACAGCTTGGTTGGAACAATGCTGTTTGCAACTAAATATTTGTAAAACAGTATGCATCTTCTTCACCAAAACAAAGTCCTCTTGTGTTACGCCAGATGTTTTTATATCAGGGGAGAGGCTACAGGTGGTGTCACAATACAAGTACCTTGGAGTCATGATTGATTCAACACTCAATTTCAAGGCTCAGGTTAAAAAAATATGTAATAGGGTCAAATCCAGTCTGTCGAATTTGAGGTTCACCAGAGATTACATGTCAATTGAGGCATCTCTGATGTACACACACTCTATGGTTCTCTCACACATCACCTACTGTTTAATTACCTGGTCACATGCCAGTACAACATTAAAACCACTGGAGTCATTGTACAAACAAACACTCAAAATACTGGACAAAAGAATAATCTGTTTTTTCGCATCACTGCCCAATACTCAAAAAATACAACTTGCTAAACTGGGAAAACCTCATTAAACATGCAAATGCTTGCCTTTTTTACAAGATTGTCAACGGCCTTACCTCACCTCCTCTTAGACAGTTTATTAACATACGCACAACTGCAACTAGGGTAACAAGAGGTGCAGACCACATTCACTTTATTTAAATCAAAACTCAAAATATGGTTAGTGAGGAATCAGCTCTGCCAACACTGACCCATCTTCTGCTCCTTACAACCCACTGCCTGTGTTTTAACATGTTCTTTTGTTTTCTTTTATTTGTTTTGTTTTAATGTTCTGTATTTCCCAGTATTGTATGTTGCATGTTTTAAATGTATTGTATTTACTTGTTTAAAATGAAATGTGTTTTAGGTTGACTAAAATCTGTCCAGGGACTACAGATGAAAAATAGCC